TGTCTGCGCATGTATCCTGTTTTCTGAATGAAGATACCGTTTTTCATTTGGAAGATGAATCAGTGTTGTAGGTCATGAGACCTGGTCTCGGTCTCGAGACCTTTTTTGCGGTCTCGCCCTGTCAAAGTCTTGGTCTTGGGAGGGCTGGTCTCGATAGCACTCGGTCTTGGTCTCGGATGCCATAGTCTCGGGTCTCCCCCCTCGAGACCGTTGAGACCGTAACAAAATGTGCATCTAGCTACCACGCATGCATGCGGTTGCAAAAGGCAAAATTACCTCCGCTCGAGTCAAATCTTGAGCCACTGATATAAATACAACACAGTAATGTTCAGATTTTTTGCAGTAAACAATGAAATCGATACTGGAATGAAGACTTGTCAATGCAGCATGATGCAACCTTGTCCTAAGTTGTAACTTATTTCCAATCCAGAGTAGCCATGCTGCTTGACACCATGGAGATGAGGTTGTGAGTAGTGGGATTCGCACAGTAGACTGGTTCCCGTTCCCTACGTAGTCTCCTGCTGAACATAGGGCCAGGACGGGAACCATTCTGTTTGTGTGCACGCTATGAATTGTGTGCACGTGTGAAAGTGCTTTCATTCCGTCTTGTATGTGGTACGTGTTGTTTTAGTAGTTTCGTTACAGTAGGCCTACGTCTTTTTTGGATATTTGTTTTTTTGCTTACAAAAAAGCAGTCTAAGAATATTTGTGTTAAAGTTCACATCATATCATTTGGGACACTCGTGTTGAAAATGACCAGACCAGGGTAAGAGTAAAGCAGTATCACTGATAAAAGAACTGAAACATTCTTTAACAAATATTTGACCTATTTGTGTGTGTGAGTTTATGCTAATGTTCTCATTTTATTTCTTTTGTACTTAATTGTGCTGCCATATGATTATCCCTATTTACCTTTTGGTAAAACTAAACATTGGTTTATGCTTGGTCTCAGTCTCAGATGTCGTGGTCTCGGTCTCAACCTGCAAAAGTCTCGGTCTCGAAGTCCTGGTCTTGGTCTTGAAGGAGTAGGTTTCGGTCTTAGTCTCGTATGCCTTGGTGTCGGTCTTGGTCTCAGACATCAAGGTCTCGGATACAACACTGATATGAATTATGGAAATGTCTGCCAAAAGACTAGGCAGACATTCCATTTTGAATGATTCAAATATGTGCATGTTATAACCATAAAGCCTTGAATGAAATTTCTGTGTCAAGATGGTCTTGCTATTAATTTTGGTTTGCCTTTCCATATTGTTACATTAAGATCTAAAAGCCCAAACTGAAATTCAACATGTACCAGTAACCTGAAAAGCATCCTGCTGTTTTCTACATTATCCTAAAAATGTTCAACCTCAAACTTGAGGAGGAAATCCATGGGTGTCAGGGTCAAGGAGAGACATCTCACCACCGGGGACATGTCTGTGAATGTTTGAGGACGTGACAGACATGTGCTCGCTGTGTGAACTCAGTAGGTCATCCTCAGGATGCATGCTGAGATTGCTTGTTTGGCCAAGATCAAGATGAAATTCTCCTCATGGGTAAAACTCTGTTGCAGTCCATCACAAAGGAAGCCGTAAAGTGACAATAAAACAAAAAGTTGTTCTTGACCGACCGTTGGAAATACATGCAATCTTATGTCATAAAAGTTGGAAACAGTTGGAACAAAGAATTCACTTTACTATTTTGATGTGCCATATGGTTTTTACATTTTTATTAATAAAGTATGGAATTCAAAACAATTTTCTGAAAATTGAAGTGGCAGAAGAAGTTCGGAGACTTGTTTATTAAAAAGCATAAACCTTGCACACGTCAATAATCTAATTTTGATTGCAAAAATAAATTTCATAGTAATATTTTTCACTGGAAAATCAAAATTGGACTTAGATTCTTTTCCTAAGTTGGAATTTTTGGTGTTTCACTTTTGTGCTTATTTTCTGTCATGCTGTCATAAAACATTTTAGCTCCTGTCTGTCAAGAGTTTGTGATTGATATTTAGCAGTTAGCACCCCTTAAATATGTGTATCTATGACTCATACCCAGCTCCATGCATACTTGTCCGATATTAGCATCCTACTCTAGGAGCATATTTCATCTCAAGGTGTGGCTTTTTCTATCTCAGTCCTGAAGACGTGCTCACATACTCTCTCATTATTGTCCCACTGTGCTTCAAGACAGCATCTAGCTCCTGCACCAAGGATTGCACGCTAGCCCTCCTTGGATTGCAGGGAAGCTACCGTGGTTGGCATTCACAGGTGTTGCATTCACTTCCCACTGCATCTTGGAGATGCAAACCCTACCTTATGGCCACAGTCTATGAGTCACCGTTTGATCAGGCACCAATCCGGGGCCTTTGATGGTTTCTCTCAGGTGAAAGAGTATTCCGTGCGATGGGAGCTCCCTACCCGCTCTGTTGCAGCATTAAGCTCTTAAGTATCCACAAGGAAGTAGTGTTTCTTGTAATCAAAGGATTTGGGACTTTGTGAAACATTCTTGTCATCTTGAAATTGATGCTGTACTGAGGTTGTCTCTGTATGAAGATCAAGACAAGATTCAACTCCTCCTGCAGCATTGGCCATACTAATACCTTCTCCATGAAATGTGCCTTTCACAGAAGGATGAGAATTTTTATCTATCGTTGAGGATTTGATGAAGGAAGGCTTTGGCCTCTCTCCACCCGTGAGACTTTGTCATCTCTTAAGAGGATTAAAGATTATCGTTGTCTTCATCGGAGGACTTTCATCTGACACAATGGGATTTGTCTCCCATCCCTTGATTCTTTGAAGCTTGGAGAGTAATAACCTGCAAGATGATTTGCTGCGACCGGTTTGTTTTCAACTGTCCCCTCTTTCATGTAAGATTTATCTTTAAAACAAATCATTGATGTATTCCAATGAATTTACCTGTTTAGTTTTTTAGTACATGCACCGGTACTTTTGTATGTTTGTTTGTTTGTTTGTTTGTTTGTTGGATCACTCTTTCGGTATTTGTTAATTTGTTACATTTTCAAGTAATGTTTTTTTGGGGGGAGAAGTTGTCTATCTTTGTAAAAGATTACACAGTCTTCTTGAAAGATGAAACAACCTTTTTTTGATAGGAAACTTTTTTTCTTTTGTAGCCTTTGACAATTGTTTCACAACCATAGTTCTTACTATGACTGAAATTTGTAGTTTTAGTCTTTGCCTGGTTTCTTGAGGCCTCGGCCTCTTATAGTTATGACAGTGTTCGTCAGGATGTTCACACCTACTGTAATCAAACTACCAAGGTACATGCAGACCTTCCAGCAAGGAGTTGGTCATGTTATCTGTTCCCTGCGTCCCATGTGGATGTTTCTTCAATTTGAAATTATTCTGTATCGTCCTTTCTTCATTATGCTCTTGTTAAGGATTCTAAAAAAAGTTGGAAAATTTGAAAAATCAAAATGACATACCAATCAGAAATGAAGGTTCCTCCTGTAGGTGAGAATGGGGGGAAGAATTTGGTTAATAAGTAGAAGAATATTGGTCATCAGCCACAAGTATGAATCACGTGTAGATTGTGCAGATGAGAATCAACATCAGATCTTTTTTTTTTTTCATTTCTGCGGTCTCGTCGTGCGAATGGCACTTACACCTGTCTTAGGCTCCTGCTGTCTTTCCTAGGAAAACAGAATCTTGTCATTGCAAAGAAAAATGAGTTTACACGGTGGGCTTTGCCAGACCTGTCATCATTTTTGTCTTGGAGAGTGACTTCTGTGGATGTTTGCAGTGACGATGTCCTCATCCTTAGCAATGCTTGCATCCATGCTTGTGTTTAGCGATTCAAGTCTCATGCTGAAGGACATAATGTTCATGATGGATGGATTTTATTTTAAGGCAGTGACTGTTTGCTTCTTCGTTGGTTTAAATCTCTGTCTTTGTATCGGAGAGATGATAAAGATCTGATTCATGAAGTTTTATGGAGTGGACATAGATAAAGTGCTGGTATTCTAAAGCTGTGAATCTAATATTCTCCCTACCTTTTTGGATCGATTTGCAAAGCGAGAAGACTCTGGATTTTAAAAACCAAGACACCAAATGAGAAATTAAGATACAATGAACAGTTTGACTAGATCACGGAACATCTTTTGAAAACCCCATGAGAAGACTTGGCATCAGTGAACAAGGAAGTTTTGCTGGTGGTCATGGAAGAAGTGCCCTGTGTGATATGCCTCTTTTATTTGTGTTCTTCTGACAATGTTACAGTTTGACGACTTTCATGAAATAATGGCCATGTAGATGAGCTCTGTACTTGGATAACAGAATGGTCTGGTGACAGCTGCAGCTAGTTTTAGTATCAGCACCACAACATTGTTACACTTCTGGGAACCAGACAATGATCTATTGTTGCCAGTGTCAGACACCGCAATCTTTGTCCACCACATTGACCTTTGGGAGATTTGAACAACGTCAGGACTTGGTGGTGTGTCTTGACTTCAACACCTCAATTCAGTGATAAAGCTTGGGACTTTTGTGCTAGGCTGTAAGGTGACTTGTTATCCAGACTATTGGCAATGAGCATTGGCAAGATAATGAGCTGTCAGTTCCAACTCATGCAGCCTGCTTGAGTTTCATATGTTGCTTGAAGCTAAGACACTTGATCATAAATAGATGCAGTATATTTAGAATCAGTTTTGCCTTGAAAGTGTTACCCCCCAAAAGTGTTGTAGTTTTCCCTTTCCCTATTAAGCTCCTTACAAACAACTTTCAAAGAGACTTCCTACTCTCAGGAACCAACGTATAGTTTCAGTCAATATTTGATGTTGGCACCGTTGATTGTGAGTCTGTACTAGATGAATAGAATGTGGCCCACTGTCGATAGGAAAGCAATTCCTGGCTGAGAACATCCTGGAGTGATTGTGGATTTTACTGGACCAACTTGGCAGGATTTATGTACTGTAGCCTTTAGAGCTGGACTGTTATCAAGCCTGGACATCCACCATCATGGGAGAAGTTTGCTTTTACCTTGATCTTTGTTCTTGTTGTCAGGGTATTTTCCCCAAGCGAATGAAAATCGCTCTCAAACGAACCAAGAGCGTTGGGAAGTTCGACAACAAACACGCAACTCTGAAAGAAGAAGACGAGGAGTAAGTAATCCTTTCTTTTTGAAATGGAAACATTCAAGGGATGCTGAACGAAAAGTGACATCTTTGAATCAATAGGTGATTGAAAATTCCCAGCTTTCTCTTTTTTTTTTTTGCTGCATCAGCTGAAAAGGAATAACAAAATTTTTTGATGTGAAGTTTGAGATACGTGAACAGTGTGCTAAGCTGTCAATGTGTCATTGATGGAAAGAGCTCCAAGTATGGAAAGCCAGTTCATGGTGTACCAAATGTTGCTGTGTCATCTCTAAAAGCCAATGACCACATTTCTTCATGTTGACCAGAACAGAGAGTCTCATAAATCCCTTGAAAATCTTAGGTTAAAGTTTGGAGTCATAAAGCTCACTCAGACGTGCTCGTTCCATCTTGCAATTCATGAACACAAGCCAGGATTCTGCCAAAGGGAATATTGGCGTCCTAAACTTGAAAATGTTAACGTGCTAGCGTGCACGTTTTGATCTGGCCCGACTGGCTAAATTTGGAACGGTAGAAATCAGAAAGTGATGAGTTTTCACAACTGTCATGGAACACAGCAGGTGGAGGGGATATGGTAGATACGAAATGCCGGGAGATAGCTTTATCAGTGTGAGTGCATGCAAACACTAACTCATTCTGACAGTGTTAAAGGGTTTCACGTACCAGTATGTGGATGAAATCTTTAACCCTGACAGTCCTCAATCTTCCAGTTTCGATATGATTTTTACATACACCCTTGGGGTTAGGGTTAAACTTGCATTCTGAGTTCAAATTTCGTGAAAACATTAAAGTTATTGCACTGGTTTAGTGAGATGGCTTGCTATGGATTTTCAATTTTTAAGGAATAAGTCGGTCAAATGGTTTATCCTTTTGTTTTTCTTTATCTAGATTTTACTCAGAAAGTTAAAGATTATTGTAGCTCCTTTGGCGGCACAAATTTAGCAGGGGTGGGGTTCCTGTTCTCTTCTTGGCAGAAATTGAAGACCCTTGTATCAAATGTTCAACCAACTCTCATTGGACAAATTCAGTCACACAAGTCAGAGTGAATCTCATCACAGTTTAGGAAATGAAGTCATCTCTCGTAACCTGACAGGTCAATCACATTGGACAAGCTTGCATCTCTGCTTTCCCTTCCAACAGATCAGACATGACGTCTCCCAATTCCATCAAGCCTGCCCACTCCCATGAGTCTCTGCTGCTCGGACCTCAGACCTCCCTGGACGTCTTTGACCTCTCATCCAATGACCTGGTCATTGTACCCCTCCACAGCAGCATCCTGGGGCAGGATCACTGCTTCCAGATTACTAACTCACACGGCAAGAAGTACTACTCGTGTCGCTCAGCGAGTGAGCGAGACAAATGGATGGAGAGGTAAGAACGAATCATTGAGTAACTGAAATATCCACTCACTTGTGAAGGAGTGGACACAATGGAAAATGAGTCATGATTGTTGACTACTGGGAAAGAAAATGCTTCATAATTCGATTTCAGGAAACCATATATGTAGCTCAGGTTTATAAATGAAAGTCAAGGCTGATGACTGTTAATTGTAATGGAAAATATTAATTTTCAATGGTCTTGACTTCAGAAACAAGACCAAGATGGCAGTAGAATGATTATGGGGCTGAAATTTTTAAACAAAGGTCAAAGGTTGACTTTTCTCCAGAGGTGGGTCTTACAAAAGGTTGAAGTTGACTTGAAGGAGGTTTGAAGGAGGTACATCAATATGGTAGATGAAGGAGGGAGGTAGGAGAACAGACAACCTGCCTTATCTTCCCCTCCCACTTGACCAGACTTCTCATGTTTGCTGAACCTACCACTTAACGGAAGAGTTCACCAAAATCAAGCTTCATTGTGGCTTCAAATCTGTGAACACATGAACCTGCATCCACCTTGGTTTTTGAGGATCTACACAGACTCCTGGAACCTTGGATATCTTCCAGTGCTTCCTCTCTCAGTTTCAGATCCTGGATAGAAATGTTTGAGTCTGACAGTGTTTTGACTGAGGCGGGCACAACAGGGAAACAATGAATTACCAATGTTGATTGCTTATATCATGAAGCTGACGGCTGTTCCTTATCAGGGGTTGCTGCACTAGCCTTCAAAGTCTAAGCGCTAACAAACTTAATGAAGCAATGACAGATTCTAATGTACTGCATCTCTGGTTAAAAATGCTAAGTGAAATTGTATACGCTAAACAGTTATGCTAAGTGGAAACGACTCACCTCTTTTTCTACATGCTCAATATCACATGCAGCATTCTCTGCTCTTCATTTTCCATGTCATAATTCAGAAAATCCAAGATTTCTTCTCCTAAAGGGGACAGTTTACAGCTATCTGCTCGGAATAAATGATCAAAAAAATATTCTGTAGGAACCTTAGTTAGCTCTAAATGAACATCCGTGCTTCGAAGTAATTCAAATGAAGTTTGCTTTTGAAAATAAAAGAATTCACGGGGAAGATTTAACACTGATATTCTAAGGACGGTTTCATCTGTCAGTGTATCTTTGATTAAATTAGAAGTTAGATCCCCAGGGTAGCCGTGCTACCTTGACCTTTGCCTCAAAGATAACATAACAGCCTTGAAGACAGGAACAAGGAAATTAAGAGAGAATTCTGACAAGTACCTGTCATGCCTGTATCAATAGGCAGCAAGTGCAATTAGATCATGTATTACTTGTATCAATAGGCAGCAAGTGCAATTATATCATGTATTTCTTGTGCTCATTGTAGAAAACAAACTGACGTCCAACGATTTCTGGATTTTCTTACTGGTCTTTGCTAGTTTATTTATTGGTGGCAATAGGGTAGCTTATTTGTCAGCATTTTTCCTAATGATTTCTGATTGGTTAATTAGTATTTCTCCTTTTTTTGTTTGCCTTTCTGTTAAAAAAACATGTTTGTTCATCGTGTTTTTATCATCAGTCATCGATACTTAATGCTGCCATTTTCTTCGCGTGAAATGAAAGTTTAGTTTTCCATTGACATCCATCACTAAATCATCTTTTTAATTCTCATTTTAGTTTAATCAAACATTTTTTGTGTTGTTGGCTGAACGTGAGAAATAAAGAGTAACCAAGCTTCTGTTCAAACAGGCTAAAAGTGGAACAGAAATATGATCAGGTTAAAAACAAACAACTTTATTTCTTAAAATGCCACATTACTGAAGTTGAACCCCCTCCCCTAAAAAAAATAAGATATTTTTGAAACTAACTGTTGTGTGTGTCCCAGTTGCATAAACAGGATGTTCATAATATCTGCCAAAAAAACTTCTTGTCAGGAGATTTCCTGCGGGAAGAAAAAGCAGCTACTGATGGGTGGGAAAATGCTGAATCCTTGGCTTTAGTCTGCTATGATTTAATGGACAAGATGAGCTCAAACAGCTGAGTTTGATGTCCGAAGTGAGGACAGGGTTACCTGTCGTCCCATGGGGAGATGGTTGTTGGAATGGAATGTTCATGAAAAATGCAGTGAACTGCAGAATACGAGATTTTGCAGAGTAGATGTACATGTATCCACTTTATAGTAGGCATTGATGATCTAAAGGCACTCACTTTAGATTTCTGGAAACCTAGCCATTTCACACCTGAGCCACCATATTTTTGCTCCTGCCAATCAAATCTGTGAGAGCATTAACTGGTCTTTGACAGTTTAATAACCATCCTCCTGTTGTATGACTTCATCTTTTACAGCTGCCAAGTTCAGTGCGTGCGTGTTTTGAAGTTTAGTTGTCCAGTGGTTTTATCTGAAGGAAAGTCAAGTTGAATGTCATGGAGATCAAGGAGAGTTTGTCATACGACGGAAATGCATAAAAACCTCTGGCTTTTTTCTGGGGCTCACACAGCAACCTACGTGACTCCAGGCTGTAACAGCAATCGCTCCTCTCAAAGATCAATCGCGGATCGAGTTAACCAGCACCATGTTTGATCTGATTGATTTTCTCTTTGTGATTCCGTCTCGCAGCATTCGCAGTGCCATCCATCCAGAGAAAGACCACAAACGGCGGAAAGACAGTGTCCTCAGACTGTGGGTCGTGGAAGGGAAGAATGTTCCTGTCAAGAGAAAGTGAGTTTGCAAGCCGACAAGCCATTTTTTCTTTCAGTCTTACCACTTTTTATATTTTTCCATAGTCTCTCAACTTGAATAAGTCTACCATTGAATAGGCTGTCACCGTTGTGGCCCCCCCTCCCCCTAGAAATGCTTGGCTGAGTCCTGATAAGACAACTTACCAGCCCTGTGATCACTCTATCTGGGTCAAACCATAAAGCTAAACATCAAAGAAGTGGCTGAACTTGAAACCACAAGCGCAACTTGGCGAAGACCACAAGTCTGGGTAATGCTTGGAGCATACTTTATCGACAACTATCAGTCCAACACATGACTACCACAGACAGACCACAAACGTGGAGAAAATTGCAGAGTCACAGGTCATGCTACAAAGTAATAAACCAGAGCTAATGCAGAACGTCTGTTTAGCATCATTTTTTTTCCTTGGATCACATTTCTGTAGGTACTACTGTGAGATTTGTCTGGACGATATGCTGTATGCCAGAACCACTGCCAAATCCAGGGGAGACATGGTCTTCTGGGGAGAACAATTCCTATTCACGTAAGCTTTCACCCATGAAAATTTCCTTTGAGTTTCCTTGGGATCTGTTGGGTTGGATTCTTGGCTCTTGTGGACTACTTCAGTCTTCCCAGGTAAACAGGAAATTACTTGATGGGGTTTGTTTGCTGTAGTTGAATGCCGGTTTGTTTTAAAACCCGGGGATTACAGTTAGAATGTGTTGGAAATTGTTTGGTTTCCATGGGATACCTGTTTGAATTTCCAATAACCTTTCTAAAGATGGATTGATTTGTTTTTATGCTTGGTGTTTGCGCAGGTGTCTTCCAGAAGCAAAGAACATAAAAGTTCATTTGTACAAAGAACCAGACAAGAAGAAAAGGAGAGACAAAAACTATGTGGGTAAGTCAGAATACAAACCAACAAATAAATAAATAAACAAACAAACAAATAAACAAACAAGCAAACAAACAAATGCCCCCAATAAACCTGCTAGACAAATATGCAGTAAAGTAAGAATAAGCCGATGGGTGGTTAACCTTAGCCCTTTTTTCTTTCATCATAATTAACTTTTCCTGGCTGGTTGAGCATTTCAAGGGCTATCAAAGAGTTTACTTTTTTACATTTCTAACACTGCTCATTTTAAAGAGTTACTACATGGAGTTTGAAGATATTTGTCCGTTTCATTATAAGTTAAACCTTTATAACAAAAGTCATTTTTGAAATTTTGCTAAAAAAATTGACACATCTTCGTGGAACGTGTTAGTTGCATTCGATTTCCTCTGGAACATTGTTTATCCTGCATTTGAAATACGATGCCTAGAAAAACTCTCGGGTGTAAGTTAGACATCTGTTAGCAGTTTATTATGGAAGGCTTGGCACTCCATCTATCCAGCCCTAACAAACTCTCCTTATTTGTCAATCATTCCCCGTCACTTTTTCCATTGATTCACTTCCTGTTCTAGGGGTTGTGTCCATTCCGCTGGAACCCATCAGTAACAGGGCCACAATCGAGAAATGGTAAGCTCCATCCACACCTCATCTTGGCTCGTAATCTCAGCGACCTCACAATGTCATAATCTCTGACAGCAGGAAGTGACGTTTTTTATTCCCTTCAGAATAGCTTAGTTCCTGCTAATTGGTAGATTTTTTAGGTTATGATGCTTGTGTAGAGTGATATCTCTGTTAATCAAGAAAGGCAATCTGTCAATTATAAACACAGCAGGTGGAAGATATTAACTCAACAATGTAGACTGGAGACAAAAACCCATCTCAGTTTCCTGCTGTCAAAACAGGCTGAAAATAATTGACCTGTGACCTGATAAACTACATTTCAATTAAAATGGGGGGGGGAACCAGTACTTTGGCCAGTGTTACCCAAAAGGAATGACAACTATTTTAACTTAGTATCTATGCTAAACTCTCTTTTTAACTAAGTAAGTCTCTTTTAAACTGTTCCTAGCAACTATTGTGGGATTCAAACCAGGGACATCAAAGCAGAAAGTCCTAGAAATAGCTGAATGTGACAGCAGTGTCAGAACCTTTGTCAAACCTTCCACTTCAAAATGCTTATCTTGGAATTACTATAATACATATTGTTTTTCCAACTGAAGTGGCTCTTGTTGAATTCGAACCCAAAACTTCACAGTTTGAATTCAAGCTATTTATCCTTAATCCTTCTCTGGCATTTTCTCATCAGGTACCCCTTGACCAACACCAGCACAAAAGGTGACACGCCAAGCCTACGAATCAAAGCCCGATATCAGAGCATCAGTATTCTGCCCATAGCCCAGTACTCTGAACTCGCACAGGTAAGACTGATGCCGCCAGCTTAATCCCAATTGAAAAGTGCTCAGAGGAAGCTTGGTTACCAGACTTTGTGTCCATATCAACTGGCTGTGGCTGAATTGTACACACTTCTATGAGTAGTGGCTTGTGAAACTGAAATTAGCCACAACCCTTGATAAAACTTGTTATTTAAGGATTGTCTCATAATTCATCATGGTCCAAACATTCAATTAGGGATGCCTTCTTCTGATTCGAGAATCGATGACCCTTCCACTGGGAACACAGCATTCTGTGCACAAAGTGAACTGTACCTGTTGATGCATGAATGTTATAATGGAATGCTAGTGCTCTAGTGGAAATGGTCCAAAAGAACAAGAACGTTCCCGACTTTTGAGCTGATAAAGTCATTTCATCAGTGGTCTTGAGAATGAATAATCCATACTCACAAATCAAGTGGGTTATCATCTCCAGCTTATGAATCTAAATGACTAAATGTTTTACAGTTGTCAAGATAATATTGTGATGACTGTTAAAAACAGTCTGTCCCCTTGACACATACAGTGTTTGCACGGCCTGAAATAGTCATTGAAAAATTATGGAAATTTGTTTTCGTTTTCCTGGCTTGGAAAAGTCATGGAATTTTGTAAAAAAGACTAAAGTCATGAAAAAGTCATGTAATTTTCCAAACACTGTGTGTGATTTCGATTGTCAGGAATAAGTGCATAAAATGTGTGATTTTGCTCACAACTTTAAAAGTCTGAATAGTCCAAGAAATTATATTATTGGGTCATGGATTTTCATAATTAGGTCTTGGAAAAGTCATGGAATTTAATTGTCCTTTAGGTGCAGGAACCCTGCACATACTGATAATCTAGATACAGCAGAACTTGTGAATTATGACACGTTGGCAGAGGAAATGTGCCAAGAGAGCAAATCGGTCAGCGTACCCTCAGAGGCACGATTTGTTGACAGAGAGAAAAACAGTCAACTGTCAGCATTAAATTTTGATGACTGACTGAGAAATTCCCCATTTTCTAGTGTGAGCTTGGAGGGTCACTTAAAAACCAAGCCAGGCTTGATTATTATGACAACTTCTTCGTGAGGGCACAGTCCCTACAGGATATCACAGCTAGGACAAGCAGAGTCATTCCAAATGACTCAACCATCTGAATGATTCACTTCTGCAGATGCTTCCATAAGCCAGGAATTGGGATCAGCTTAAACTTTGTTGCAGCGTTGTCACGTTATCCAATTTCCATAGTGCCCGTACACAAAGTGTCCATGTTGTCGTGCAAGTTGGATTCTTAGCAAACAGTAAAGAACATCTTGTAAAAGGTACAGACTTGGCAACCAATCACAGCCTTATATACTCGTGGTTTTACTCCATATTCTAACATTGCTTCAGTGTCAATACCCTTATTGTCCACTTGTAATTATCGTCTGTTCTGTTTTCATTACAGTACTTGAAAGAGAACGCTATTACTTTGTGTCAACTCATCGAGCAGCAGATCAACGTCAAAACGAAAGAGGAGATCGCGACCTCACTTGTTAAAGTACTGCACTGTCTTGACTCGGCCAAGGAGTTTCTGGTGGAGTTGGTCATGAGTGAGACCAGAACAATGAGTGAGTAGTATGAGTCATTAAGTCGAGTAATCGTTTCCTCTGTCATTCCTTTTTAGAAGTGTTTATATTACAAAATATTTCTTAACATCATTGCTTCTATCTTTACATTACCCTTTTTTTCAGATGATGAGAGCCTCATTTTCAGGGCCAATACCATGGCAACCAAGTCCATGGAGGCATACATGAAGCTGATTGGTGGAAAGGTAAGGCAGTCATGTTGACATGAATTGATCATATCCCTCTATCTCACGATTTCTAATCCTTAGGTTCGCTGACGTACAATTATGGCACTTGTTTTGTGTTTTCTTGATCTAATTTGAAGATCGTTAATCATTCAGTATTTTGTTATGTTCCCACAGTACTTACAAGACACCATCGGTGACTTTATCCACGAATTGTATGAAAGCGAGGAGGACTGTGAGGTGACTGTTACTTGAAATTTTACTTCAGTTATGAAGCTCTTTTGCAACTCAAAATGTTTATGTTTCAGTCATAATTTTAGACTGAATTGACAGTTCAGATTTTTTTCTAAATTTTGTTTGTTCAATATCAGGAAAAATCAGAATGTTCGATGTAATGAAATATTATGTTAACCAAAATTAAGTTTTAAATTGTAAGATTAAAGTAGCTAATCTGCATGATTAATTGGTCTACAGGTGGATCCTACCAAGGTCTCTAGTAGTCTCCTTCTCCAGCAGCACCAAGCAACACTGACCATGCTGTGTGAAATGGCCTGCTGTAAGATAGTCAACTCAGCGGCTGCGTTTCCCTCTGACCTGCGAGCTGTCTTTCATTCCTTTCGTCAGCATAGCCAGAGCCAGCCCAATGGCCAGGTCATCTGCGACAAGTTGATCAGTGGTTGCATCTTCTTGCGTTTCCTCTGCCCTGCCATCATGTCGCCGAGTCTCTTTGACCTCATCCAGGAGTACCCCAGTGACAAGACATCACGTTGCCTCACCCTCATTGCCAAGACAGTCCAGGGTCTTGCCAACTTCACAAAGTTAGTCACAGCTCCCCTTGACAGCTCTCCTGCATCTTAGCTTTAAACTCCCTCACCCCTGAAAAAAAGAAAAACCCAAAATCCTTGCACCAAATATTCAAACTGTTAAGGAAGTCAAGTTGATTGGAGGTACTTTCCTCACCTTCTGTCTTGCAGACCTGGGTTCAAATCCTACTCTAGTGCACCAGAAAGACTTGGTTGGTTCTGAGTTTCCATACAATCACGTTAGCTCTCCCACATACCTTACATTGAATCTTTCATTCTACAGCTCGTAACATAAACGTTTTCCCCAATAGGTTTGGAACCAAAGAAAGCTACATGGTCTTCATGAATGATTTCTTGGAGCGAGAATGGAGCAACATGAAGACTTTCCTGCAGGAAATATCGGTGAGACAATCGTCTCTCTGCTAAAAGTAGTTCTTTATGTTCCTTGTTCTCTTAAATGCCATTCAGGCAGGATTTCTCTCTCTTAAAAAAAAGGACTTTAGGTCCAATGTTTACCAACAAAGTAGGTACATGTGCAGAATTTCTGATACTTCAGGTATTTCCTTTAATGCAGTTGCTGTTAGAAAATTCCACTTAAGTAATTTAAAGTGAAATGCAGAATGTCTCAAGATATGCAGTTGGAAGGACAGGTTTTCTCTAATATTTCAGTCTTTCATTTTTTCATCATTCCTTTTTTTTGCCCTGTCTATTTTTAGAGTACTCCTGAGAGGGCTAACGATGTGAAGTTTAACGGCTACACAGACCTTGGCAAAGAATTGTCATTACTCCATAGCTTGCTGGTAGAAACGCTAGATGACTGTGAAAAGGTTTGTTGCCTTTCCCTCCGATTCACCTCACTCTCAAGATCGCTCCCTACCCCATTGTCAACTCCAACCCCATTGCACTCCAGTCCTTACCCCAGTGACACCTTCAACTCCACCTCTTACTCCCTCTCACAAGCCCCATTCTTGGCCACAAGCCCACTTCACCCCCCTCCTATCCATCATCACAGTTAAGTCCCATACTTACTTATACTCAAGTTTTATCCACACAAAGAAATACCGGCAAGCGTCAGTACTAAAATATTCAAAAAATTTTAGTTGTGGGCTTCAAGAACCTAGCCACTCACCGTTTTTCATTGTTTCCACAGCTATCGGATGACAAGCTTGGCTCCTTGAGGAGCATCTTGACTCGCATCACATCTTATGCATCGTTGCCGGAGGGAACCATCCCTTACAGTTCCTCCAGCTTCATCCAGACAGTTCAAGGATCATGCAGCTCGACAACAGTTACCATGACATCCACAGCAACCTCCCCGATGGGCAAGAAGAGCCTAAACAAAATCTTTGAAGACGCCAAGTTGTCAGACTCGACAGATGTGGAGATGCTTCCACCGTACAACATTGCCATGGAGCGATCCATCACATCCTCAACGGTGAACAACCTTGTCGATTTCATCCAGCAGGATACCGCCAACTCGACCAATGGGAAGACAGAACTCAGCACAGCCGTTTTTGAAATCGCCAGTACCCAGACTGACTCGTCACAGATTGAATCGAGTACGACAGTTGAAAAGGTCCGAACGACAACGGAATATGAGGAACGGATTATGGAGGAGTTAGAGGGAGACATGTTGGTTTCCATGAAGTCAGAAACCAAGAAATCAGTCAATCAGTCATACTCAGTCAGTCTGGAGAGAACCGTGGTCCCAAATCCAGCAATTAGTACTACTGAAACAAACAGGACCTCCTATGCCATAGATAGGACTGGTGGAGGAGATGCACAGGTCAAGCGAAGGAACCGAACCTTACCGCTGTCCTTCCAAAATCCAGCCTACCAACTCTCCAAGAAATCCCTGCGTCACCTGGACGTTGGGGCTTCGGACAGCGTCAGTTCCTCTAACAGTTCAGATGGGGCTTCATCCAATCATGACGGGGATGTCTCCCAAAACAGCTTGTCATGTGGGGGTGTGTCTCCATCCTCAAGTAGGAGAACAGCGTCGTCAAAAGGATCCTCATCGACCGGAAAGGTAGACATTATGGCACATACGTTACCCAAAGCTACCCACCGCTCTCACAATATCACCTCTGTGGACCTGTATCCAAAAAGTGATGGGCAAATCGCCGAAAGTCAGAGCAGTGGTTCAATCCACTCCAAAAGCACAAAACCTTCCTTCAATGGTAGCAACAGCAGTACTTCACTCTTTGACCCCGCCCGGACTCAGTCTAGCGTCACATCTCCCACGGAAGCAATTCGTGCTATGAATAACGCTGCCAAGGCGGCGTTCTTTTCATCAGTGATGGCTCCTGTGCGGGAGTCCCCAGCCCGCTCCAACTCCGGCATTGGAAGCCCCATCCCCAGCAGGGGTTTAAAGCAGCGCTCGCAGGCTGTGCTTCACATCAACAATGAGAACCACCAGCCCTCGTTTGCCATCACAGTCACCAATCCCAAACCAGAATCTCAAATGGCACAGTTGAGCCACACCCACCCAGAGCACATCTCCAGCTCCTCCCCTTCTATATCTCCGCCCACAAGTTCCCCGTCTTCAGCCTCCTCGGAGGAGCTTCCCGCTAGGACGCTAGTTAAGACAGAAGCTGTCATCCAGACAGGATCCCCCACTCTCCAAACCACCCAATCCACTGAATCCGTCACGTTTACCACTCAACGGTTTATGACTTCCCAGACAATCTTGCCATCCTCCCCTTGTAGACCAAAGCAGTTAAACACTGACACTAGTCCCACGTCCCGCACCCCCCTGATGGGTACCACAAACCTTGAAAAGAACCTCACCACACGGACCACAGCCCGTTACCCCACCACACCTGTCCAGCTCAGTACTGCCAATATCTCCTTCAGCATTGCCAGTCTCACTCCACCTGTGAGCACCGTCACAAGTCCCACAAGCCCTTCCTCACTCCCTCTCCCTCGGAAGAAGATCATGACCCAGTTTGCCTCTAAGCCAAGGATCTGTCAGTCGGAGAGTTCCTCTCCCCTCAACAAACCAACAGAGAGTTCCGAACTGTCCATCCAAATTGGAAAAAAAACGCGGTCACTGTCACTTCAGCACAATTTCACATCCAAGCCAGTCTTGACCTCACCTCCTGGCCCTGTCTGGACCAGAAGAATGAAGGATCCTTCATCCATTGACCGAGAAACACAAACAGAAGTGGTGAGTGATGAATTTACATGTGCAGCTAATTAGGATTATCTTATCTAATCAGGATCAAAACTTTAGAAAGATAGCTGATTTTTTACATTAGAGATATTGTCAAACTTGGTCCAAAAGTAGCACTTTTCCTCCTGGCTGGCCACTCTCAAGTATTGCATCATATTTGTCTTCTCTGCCTCCAGTATTCCTTGGAGATTCAGATTCTGAAAGATGAGTTAGAGAAGGTGACCTTGCAATTAGAAGAGACTCAGCTGAAGTTGGCCGAGGAGGAAGTGAGAGCGGACAAGGCCATCGCTGAGATGAAAGTGGAACTAGAGAACAGCCAGGTGGAGCTGAAGAGACAACATGATGAGAAGGACAAACAGATCAAGGATATCATCACAAGGTGAGACTTCAAATTCCAAATACAAGTTTCAGCCCTGAAATCCTCTGTCTCCAAATGGCTCTCTCCAAATGTGCTATAATGTTTGTAGTTGGTCATTAGATGTTTGTTAGCATTCACAGTCTACAATCTGATTCTTATCTCTGTAAGAAATTTACTACCACGTTATAGGCTGTTGGATTTGAGTTACGGGACTTTCCAAGTTCTGTATGTGAGCTAGATTTCTGACTTTTACTTTACTTCTTTTGTGGTTGGCTTCTATCAGTAAAATACGTCTGGACATTTATATCAAGCTTGTGTGAAAGGCAGTATGTCTGAAGGAAGTGAGTTCCCCATTTCCAGGTATTGATAATGATTCAGTGACCTCTAAATCATGCCAAGTTGCTGATGGGAAGGTTTACGTGCTTAGGTTGTGAAGAAATGACGCGAAGCAGGTGGTTCTGTACTGGAAATCTCTTGTCCCTTCTGAGCGGATAGCTGCTTTTTCCTTGGAAATACTATAGGAATCATATGTAGGAATAGTTGAAAGCAGTGGGATTGTGGACGGAAAAGCTGAAGGAAAAGTTCTGACATGGAAAACTGGAAGAAGGAAAAACTGCTTTTCATATGAGGCAAAGCAATCTGAAAGACTGCTTAGCAGGGATAAATTGCGCTAGCTCCTCAGCGGGATCCTTTGAAAAATGCTGAGCAAGAAAATGGGATAGCTTGACAAAACATTTTTGTGAAAACTAAATGGAGAGTAACAAAGAATAAATAATAGTTTAAAGAAGAAGAAGGAATAAAGGAAAATAACCATTTCTGCCTGAGTGGTACCTTGATTTGGGAAACTGTCACTTTTAATATTTTCTGTGTAAGAACAGTGCTTAGCAGGTTAGACAGGCTATCTCTGAATGCTATGCAGGGAAGGTTGTTGGTTTGAAAATTGTGTTGGGGGGTAGGAAGTTACCCCTTTTTCCCTGTAATGTAAATCATTCTTTGCGAGCATTTTCAACTCACCTCACTTCATGCGCTAGAAAATGACAAGCCAGTGATTTCAGGACAATCAGGAATTCACAATTTTTCTGTTACTAGTTCTGCTCATTAAAACAGGCTGAATCATGTTGCTTGAACTAACAACCAACGTTCTCTGATTATGTTTGCTTCTTTTCTATGCTCTAACATTCAAGCTTTTTCTTCCTCTCTTATGCACCAGTCATGGCAAGACACTTAAGTCATGATAGCGGATAGCGTTCCAGCACTCTTATCCAAGTTTTACACCCACAAAAAGGATTTACGTTTTCTGTTTTTCCCTCTGTTTTTTCCCCTCAATACTTGCATCTGTGTTGTGTGTGTGGCGTGTCGTCACTTTAGTCCGTTGTCTACGTCGTTCATTGGCCCAAGCTAACTGAACGCGCGACAACCACCATCAAACAACCAAAAAAAACCAACTCCCAATGCCCGGTATGTATGCCATTGTCTCCTTGGCTATTTTTACAGCTCTTTACCGGCACCTGTCGGCCCACCCATTCGTCTCTATCTGCGTTCCACCATGCATCCGACAGTGACTTGGCAAGGCCAGCTTCCAGCATTGTTACACAGCTAAAGTTGTCTGTAAGAATCACCTCTTCACTGCTGGCCATCAGCGTCACATGCCAAAGCTCACAGAGGGTGTATTCCCTCTAGTACTTGGTCTATTTGTGCTGTCCTGGTTTTGCAATTTAAACCTTTCCGTTCAATTTAGACCAGTTCCTTCAGGAACAGAGAACTTTCCTGATGTATTCTTAAAGACTTACGTATGCAAAACTTGTGGCAAACTCTGAATTGTTCTGACTCTATACATTTAAAGCTGGCTTGTGTAAACAGTGGAAGTTTCCTCGGTGAGAATTGGCTGATTGACATCAAGCCAGTGCCGGTTTGTCTCTCCTCAGTTTTCTTTTTGCTGTGCATCTTTGACTTCATACTCACTCATTCTGAATGTTTCTTTGTGATTCTTTTTTCCTCCTGATTTTAAAACTGGCCTAATGTTTGTGAGCGTAACAGGTATTCCCCTCTGCACTTGTGTCACATCATCATAGCTTTGCATTACACTTCCATGTGTTACATTTGTGTTGTCTTTCTGACTGAAAATCTTTTTGTTGACTGTCACTCCAAGATTCTGTCAAATTATGTGTTGTGCATTGAGATATATATATATGTATACACCAGGAATTAGTAACATTTCGGGGAAAAATAATCCTTTTTATGACTTCAAGCATCAATTCACCCATTTTTCACCATAAACTCAATGCTTCGTGTCACAGCATATCTCATACTCTTAATTTGGTTAAGGAACATTTATAGCAAATTTAATTCAAAATTTTATGAGAAAGAAATTACTTACATGTATTCTAAGAATGTAACTCTAATATTTTGAGATAATTTATTTGGTGACATTCAGTGGGACTGTTTCATTTCTGTTTTTTTATTTGCATGTTTATGGTGACAGTTGTTAATATGTGGCTTTTGAAGATATGTATTTCTATTTGTTTACTGTCGTCTTACATAATTCTTGTCGTTATACTGAGCTGAAATTCCATGTGAATCGTTGCTTTATGTGCGTAATTATTCGATGATGATGATGCAGTGAGTCAGTGACATGAATGATAACATCAAACATGGCTTGGAATTTGGTGAATTCTCTAGAGTCACGATTAACACATTTGACTCTCATTGATTTAATAACTAGCTTTGAAGTCAAAAATTAAACAGTTGCCTGAGGATGACTGGCTTTGGGATATTGTAGTTGACGGAACTACATTAACCACATCCCAAAAATATTGAGAGAGAGATCTGATGCCATTTACTGTGCCTCATGAAGTAATCCTCTCTGACTGGAATGGTCAACTCATACTAACCACATACAGTAGTGATATCGTGCTTGGTGCCTTGAAGACTGGTCCTCTAATCAGGCTCACTCTCAAACAACTGTCATATTTTTTTAAATCCCTGTTCAGACTTGTCACTGTGGAAGAGGAGTTAAAGAAGGAGCAAGAGGAGATGGTTGCCGTGGTTTCTGCCAAGCAGAAAATCATCGATGCCCAAGAGACCCGCATCCAGGCCCTGGATGCAGCAAATGCCCGCCTCATGAGGGCGCTAGACCAGTTGAAAGAACGCTACCAGTTGACACGACGCACAAAGTCATCCTCTGATATTCGGTCTGCAGCAAAGCTCACCCCGCTGAATGGCAGCATGAAATCTACCAATTACTGAAGAGGTCAAAGGTCAGGCATCAGAGGTTAAAGGTCCAGTTCTTATTCTGTTGCTTAGTAGGAAGTAATGTTCAAACAAACCTGTGCTGCTGTGGGTTTGGCGTTCAGTGCACATTTGCTTCAAAGCAGGCCAACCTTTGAGAGAAGAAATGTTAATCATCAAACATTTGGATAGGTTTTGATTTACAATGAGAAATCATTAGATATGGACAGAGACATTTTCAGTGGTCCTCTATTAACAAGTTACAGATGTAAGGTGGGTAATGTTTCAGATGTTTATTTCTTGTTGTCAATTAATGATAACAATAAGCATTGTTTTTAAATTGCCCTCTGCTGTGTAGATTTATTTTGATTGAGTTAGGTAATTCTAGATTACTGTTTAATGTTTATATTGTACAGCATTCTGTCGAGGTTTCTTTAACAGAAGATGAATTCTGTTGGATGAATCAGGAAATCGTATTTCAACATTTGAGCAACTCAGAAATACTCAGGCAGGACCTGAAAATATTAATTGTGATTTAACTTGATGAGGCAAATTGACTGAATTTTTCCATTTTGTCCTGTCAAGAAAAATCTTTCTAATTTCATCTGAGAAAATGATAATTTAAATTGTTGACCTTTTCCAGCCAACATAAAAGGAAGAACCCACATTGGGGAAAACAGAAATCTTCGCATTTAGAATGTTTCTTTTTAAAAAGAGTTAATTTTTCTTGCATATTTTGCCACAAAAAATAATTGAGGATTTTCCATAAAATGATAAATTCAAAAAAGTCAGTCTACAGAAATCTTTGCACCCTCCATGTATGTAGTTTGTGCGGAATGAGAACAGGTTATATTGTTCAATGTTCTGTTGTATCCAGGGGTCATTTGATTTTAAAGGCCCCTCTGGTTAAAGAATAGCTAACTTTATTGAGCAATATAGTGGTCATTAGGTTGTCCACACACTTTTGTTGAATTCCCTATAAACAAAAAAAAATTCACTTCAGCAAACTAGCAGTTGGAGTTTTTCCCTTTTTCCCATAAGTTCAAAGTTGTGTGTAAAAATATGGAGTAAACTGTAGTAGTTTTTAAATACTGAATCAATGTATATAATTTTAAGCAAAATATTTGTATTTATTTATTGGAGCAAACATAAGCATTATTGAAGTCTTCCAAACAGGGGACTTTTCTAATTTTGCTATTGTAGATTTTTCTCTCTTTTTATGAGAAAAGTAAAGAGTGTTCAACTCCTTATTTATTGGATTGTTTTAAGTTAGTGTACATTTAAAACAAATATTGAAAAAAAAATTGCTGGACTTCAAACTGTGAGCTTTGCCAAAAGTAAGTGTAAAGGTGCAAGTTGTGTGCGATTTTCATCACTTTTAAGTCAGATAATTTTAAATAAAAATAATACCCATCCTGTAGCAACAAGTAGGAGAAATCTACATGATGTATGTTATATTGGTCCTCTGTTTTTTTTTGCTTTAAACCTCTTTTTTTACCACTAGAAGGTGTTACTTTCAAAATTGTCCACAGCGCATTTCTGGAGCGGTAATGACTTACTCTATGCGGTCAGAACTTGCTTACTCTGTGGCAAAACTTCTTTGTTGATTGAAGGTTTTGTTTTTAAATGTAAGTTGGAAAATAATGTGTTTGGATAATTGAGTACATTGAGACACCTTGGGGTCTATTTCACATGAAATTTTGCTCAAGTGAGTCTTTTAAAGAAGTCTTGTGAGTTTATTCAGCTCTGAAGAATATAGAAATGCTTCTCTGTCACACCCAATTCCATGTTACCCCTTACTTACAGTAAGCAAAGCATTTCAAGTCCAAATATAGCACCCACTAAGAGTTCCCACTTTGTTCCTGATTATGATTAATCGTTATCAAAAAATGCCGAGTGTGAGAAATAAAATGTGTACGAGATGTTTCGCTGTACAAACAATTACATGTAGATGTAATTCGTTGTCCATTCAATTTGTGGCAAGGTTGTGACTGGATAGAACACTAGAGGGCAGTAGGACAGACGCAATGTCGGAGCTGCGCGGTGCTTGGGTACGCAATGCGTGGACCACGCACAGTTAAGAATTTTGCCGATATCAGCTACGTGGCGCTGGCGGAATTTTTCAGGTAGGAACTGAAAAATTAAGAACTGACAACCACAAGAAAATGAAAATCTGAGGTCTAGTTGCGAATAAAAGGGGGAAAGTAATCGGCAGTCTTGACATTCTAATTTGATCGCCTTTAGCGCCCTGGAATTCGAAGAGCAACCAGCATGTATTCGTGGGTGCGTGCCTGGGACTGGTTCACGTTTTTCCGCTCATCTCGTACCAGAGGGATTGTGTGGCTTTGGTTTGAGAGCATCGAATAGGTTAAGAATTAATTAAAGCTCTTGTATGCTAATTTTCCCTTTCGTAGGGCTGATATTTTTGTGCTACCAGTGCCAGCAGAAGGACGTCTGTGGAAAAACAAGGTTAGTCTAATTGTTGAGTAAACTAGACCGTGCTAATTAATGAATCGATTAGAATGGACCGGTATAGTTTCCTTAACCTTGCATGTGGCGTAGCCTAATTACGGACGGTGTACTATTTACCATATGCAGCGAGGTATGAGACGGAGAGAACCCCCCCCTGCTTTGTGTTGGTCATTGTCTCGCAGGAATCTGGGGAATTCCTTTCAGACATCTTGGGGGATGTGTTAAGTAACAATAGTCTGGAATGTGTATAGGGATTGGACATGTTGGGGGGTACCCCTCGGTCTCATTTCTTGCTGGGTTCAAGCAATTTTTAGTAATACCCTATATTTTAGTCGTGACCTTGTTTGGTTTGTATTTTTTTATCGATTAGCCTACCAGCACATTTTGTAAGTTTTTCTTAGCCTGTTCCATTTTCTTTTACTCAAGGCTACTCAAAGAGAAATTGAAAATGCCGAAATTTTTGAAGACAGGAAGGAATTAATAACTTGTGTACTGCATTGAGTATATTTACCATTCGCACCAAATAAAATGTGTGAAAAATGTTAACGTTAAAATGAACATTTTGTGAACCTTTTCATTGATGTGAAGACGATATTTAACATGGTTTCCACTTTTGGCTATTGAGGTATCAAGGATGTTGCAGTCACGTGTGATTTATTTACAACCTAGAGTTTTTGTAGTGTGGATTGTGTTGTAACTTGTATATGTATATTGCATTCTTTACATGAAGATGTTAAGATAAACGTTATGTCGTAAATATGTGTCAACAGTTTACACGAAATGTTTACACAGCATGACAACACCACACGCAAGTTAATTCCTGTGTCGGAGTGTTGAAACTAAGGACTGCATGCACTGATCTATGACTGAAATTCCTGACATTTTGGCATGAGCTTACGATATTTTATCACAGGAATTTACAACCACTGGCCTGTGATTGATGGTCGAGACATGACAATGTCCTTGGGCCAATATAAACCATTTTACGGCAGCCTCCAGGCACAAGCATGTCTATTATCCTCTCCAAAAATAACGTTTACTTGGTTTTGTTCATTTCCAACACCGGTGTATACATGTAATTATTAGATGATAATCGTAGTGTGATTGAAATAGACAAAAGAGGGAAACTTTCCCTAAAATTCACTAAAAGTACACGTGGTCACAATTGCTTTAAAATGATAAGCTGATTTTCTTTCACCTGCACGCCACTGAAGCGATCATGTCTGGAAAAAAAGAAGTGACCTCATGATTCAAAATTGACCTCGTGCTTTTTGAAGTTGAGTTTATTGTGTTGTGTGCCGTCACTACGAGGTCGTGATCGACGAGGGATTGTCCCCTGTCTCTCTGTCAAAAGAACGTTTGTATACAAAAAAGTTTGAAGGATTTGTAAAGCCGGTCCAAAGGTTTCTCAAGAAACATCACCTTTTTTTTCTTTTGCAAACGTTACGACATTTCTGATAACCTCCTCACAGGTGTGTGAAAAGCTTGGTCTGGTATCCTGAAGTTTTATTGCGGCATTTGAATTCTCAGGGAAGATTTTATGGAAGTGTTTGCAGTAAACAAGGTGCTTTTATTGATCGGTCGGTAGTCACGTAGGGCCGACCTAATGGTTCCAAATCCTTTAGTTGGCTGCCATTGCTTGGACAATTAGGGTCGAGGAATTTTCAAACATCCCATTTTGACTTCCGTTTTTTGTTTTGTCTAGACCATCATTATGACTACTTATTTTGCCTCAAATCAGAACCCGTTTTGTTTAAAACTTTTGTCTCTTTTATTTCTACCAGTTATCAGTTAGAAAAGTTGGTGGTTGCATTTTGTTTTCCATTTGATAAATATGCAGCGTGTACTTTTTTAAGTAACGCTTCCAAATGACCTGCGTTGGCTTAACAATCATCCGATCAATTTGTTGCGTTGTTATGCTCCGGAACGCAAGCTTCGAAAAGAAAACATCAAGAACAACCTTGAACTTTTTACTATCTGACCAGCTACTGCCGTCTTTGCGAAGTTGTAGGACTTCTAACAATGATCGACTAACCCTTGATTTCTGTTTGTCTACATTGTTTTGATTATGACAATAGGTGCTCATTGGAGTGAATTAAGCGACAGAAACAGCAACGAGAATTTGACAGGGAGATGTTTTGTTTGTGTAGCGGGAACTTGTCAATCAAGTCCGGTTGAAAAGCTCATTTTTATCGAAGTAAATCGGACGCTAGCTAGAAACTACACTTTTCAAAGAAGTCTCTGGGACTTGAATGAGATTTTTTGGAATTATCATCATGTATTTGCCTCAATACAAAAACACATGTTCAACAATAAATAAACAGGCCTTTGCCAAGATGGTGCAAAGGATAACAAAGCCGAAATTTTCACTATAATGGTCTGTATACCTGCCACCCTGGCAAAGGAAACAAAAAAAGGATTATCTCGTAATTGAGATATAAAGGGATTGACATTGCACATCAAAATGGATATTAACCTCAAACTATCCAGACCACTCATACGCATAAAACAACTTGACAAAATGACACGCACATCAGTGTACAAAATCTAAAAGGTCATCAAGATCTCAGATGCGCACTGATTGCAAAACACAATAGGACAAATTTATAAATCAACAACCAAAACCCATGGGTAAAAAGTTATAATATAGATCAATTAAAAGACAGGACCACTGATGGACACAGATAGGGTATATTCATTGCACTCATGAATGGAAACCAGAGGAAAAGTTACAAAGAAAGGTTAGAGCCCCCCCCCCGGTCCCTTCCACACCCCTTCCACACCCCTTCCATTCACACGTGAGCTGTGCAGGGAAATCGTCGATTTAATCTTGTTTTGATAACTTCACCATGACATCTACGTAATTCAACCCTTGGTCGTGAAGTAGAAAAAAAATATTCTCAGTTTGGTTAAAGAAAAAAGGGACTTTTTATCCCTCTCAAATTGTGAATAGAAACTGACCTTTTGGTCCTTATGACACCCTGCCCCCCTCACGGGAATTCACTAGATGTTTGTATTTGGAACGTGTTCAGGTGTTAGACCCATTATGGTATCAATGCACCTGTCTCCATATATAGCTCTGCGTTTTGCAGGTGCAAAAACCTGTTCCTTGCCTCGTATATAACTACACTAATTGTATAAGCTGTCATGAGTTTGTTTACCGATTATGATGGGGCAGCTGATTTATATTTTGGAAGGTGGTAAAATTCTTGGCGGAAAACTACATTCAAGGCTTTGTTTGTATCCCTTAATTGCTGTCAAAATTTCAAATTTTCATCAAGGTTAATAGGTTTTTTGTCCGCTTGGATCACCTTTAAAATGGTCCAATTATGCGCCATTCAGAAGTCTGATAAGGCCATTCACTGCAATATGATATCAAATATATAAGAAGAGCTTACGGGGATTAAGGCCTGGTCCTTAGCCTCCCTTAATCCCTCTGAAATTCTCAAGGCTTTGTGTTCGGATTTTGAACGACCCCCAATCGCCCCCTTAATCCGCACAGCACGTAGCCTTTCAGATCACCTCTAGCGAGTTCCTGGATTGTGAAGGCCCTTCAGTCCACCAAGCATCGCCGGCAAGTTTGCTTTGCTGCTTGTTCCTTTGACTGAATCACGGAGGCGCAATTATTTCTCCAGCTCCTGAAGCTTCTGTGAGAATTATCCCAATCAAGCCCGACGAGTTTGTTTGTTTTGTCACAAGCAAAGCTCTTCAATTCACTGATCGCTATTTAGGCTTATAATGGCGTTTTACTCCAAAGGCTTCTGTGGACGGTGAAACGTGTTTTCCCCCACTTAATATTTGTGCAGATGTTGATTTTGACAAGGCAAAGCTCCATTTTTTTATTCCTCCAACAATTCAATTTGTCATGAACTCTGAATGTAAATTTGTTCTCTAAGAAATTATTTCACACCTCTGGATGAGGTCGATGTTAAGAGGTCACATCATTCAGCTGTAAAATTACTTCTGGGTGGAACAGTGTTGTGAACCTTTTCATATTTTAGATTGTGAATTTTAGAAAAATTGTGGAGCAAACAACAGCCATCTATTTCGATTTAAAAATCCGTTCTTTTTAAACCTTTCTCCTATATCCTTCTACGAGGACATAAGGATATTGATCAAAATAAATGCGAACTTCCTTAAACACAAAACAAAACTTTTACACTGAGCATGTTGTCATAGTTTTAAAATTAGATAAACTTAAAAGAACATTTCTCCTTCAGTAGCACTAGAAACGCTGGTGAAAAAAAGTTTATTCACGTTTTACATGAAATATGCGTTTTTCCTAATTTTGCTTTCCAAGTCACTGTTAAATACTGTGAACTCGGATTCGAATTCCATTTGTTAAAATGTAGACCATGGAGGAAGGACCAGGCTAATGATCGCTATTCAGTCCGCTTCAAACAGCTCGATAATAAGACAATGTGCGCTGTCAGTACCCGTTTCTCTTCAAAGGTCGAAGGTTGTTCTAAGATTGACAGCATCCAATCAAGGATATCCTACTGATGGATTACACGAGGTGGTATGTGATTGGTGGCGTGACTATCCAATCGGTGGATGTATCTCAACATTCAAACCTCACTAAAAGTGTCACAGTTTCGAACTTTTGTTTCCTGCAGAAGTGCTAATAACATCTTCCTTTGGGCATCTCAAGGCTCTATTTGATGCATTTATAACAGGGCTCCCTTCAAATGCCGCCCTAATCCTTGAATGTTTTCAAAAGACGACAAAATGAAAAATCGATTTTTTTTCTATCGATTTAATTTGCTGCTGTTTGGTGACGAGGACGCCTTGCGAAAGACTGACGGATCGTCCATCCAAGGCTGAAATTTGGACATTTGTGAGATGTCACCATTTTCCTGTCTGGTTTGTCATAATCTTTCCCGCAATGTGACCCAAAATCTAAATTTTCCAGTGTCGCTAGCTTTTCCTGTTAAAGTGCAGATTTGATATCGTCGATTGAGTGCACAATCTTCAACGTGTATGATCAAAATCGGATTTTTATCTCAAATTTTATTTTGTTTTTACATTTCAGATTAAAAAACCCTACATTTCCCTTTAATGTAGTTTTTCTTAATCTGTAGGTGTTTACCTTGCGTTTTGTTAGTGACATCACAGTGACCAATTAAAGTTTTCTTTTGGAACGTGACTATCGGTACCTTCTGAATCCCCAGGACATAGCCTAAGATCTAAACCTGCCTCGTAATTACATTTTTGAACGGCATTCATTAAATTGTGGACAACATTTTCTTCGATGCTTAAAAAAATCCGACAAGAAGTTTGGACTCATAACGTAAGCACACAGATGTACACGCAGGTTCTTCATCGATTTTATCGAAGTCTGTGCACAAACATTATTGCACTTTTAAGTCCACGAAGAACGTAAGACTCCTCAGCCTGAAAGGGGAAGAGCTTACATCTAAAAAAAAATCTCATAAATGAAGGAGGGATGAGCAGAGTAATCGATGATACAAGAGCTCTTCTGGGCTCTCTATACGTCATCAGACACAATTGCCATGCACGTTTCAATCTAATTACCTGATAATGCGATTAACACCGCGAGTTCATCGTTCTTGATGGTCGCTTCGGGCAAAAGCTTGCAAATGCTTTGCTTTAGTTTAAGAGTTCCAATGATTAGTTTCCAATTTTTATCTGCAACTGAAGCAAGTAATGAACGTCTCTTTGCAGTGACGTCGGAAAGTGAGCTGTTGATCAAAGCTTTGGATTTTCGATGTTTTAAATTGTTCATTCGTTGCCTAAATGCTTGTTTTCACACACCTTTTCTACATTTTGTAACTTGTGTGCTAAATTTAAGCGAGTCCCAAGGCCAAATGCACAAACCATGAGCCGGTACCCTGCACACAGCAGACGTTTGCACGAATTTGACCTGTCTGATGGGACGGTGCAGTACTAACATCCAGGTAACTGACCTAAGTAATAGCTAGTGTACCCAGGGTGCGAACAAAGGTGCGCCGTTAGAATGCCTTTTGTAATGCCTCAACTTTCTCTCAGGGGTGTGAAAGGGACAATCGAAACGCACACTGTCGTATTACCGCGTTTTAATTAGTCTCGTCTTTCAATTATAAAGATGCTACATTTTCCCGATGATTGGATTCTAAAAATAGATCACAGGTTCTTGACTTGAGGCTGCTGATAGACTAGTGAGGACTTGAGGAGAGACGCATCGAGTGCGCGTGGCGTGAGCTCCCTGCTCCGTCGACGCGTCGTCCGTGATCAGACCATTAAGCAAACCGTGCAGCAAGTCAAACCACGTCTCCACTTCTCCTAGACTAGACGTGAATCCAGACGGTAATCAGGATGTTCCGATTGCCTCTCTGTTCCCCATCTTTTTCATAAAAACAAGAAGACTTTGAAAAACTAAAAACGTTCTGTATCTTAGTATGCACATTGTGCGACATTGTTTATCCAAAGGCGGGCTTTGTGTTATTTGGACAAAATGTCATACGTTCTGTCAAAGCGGGTTTTTAAGAATCGTTGTAACATCCTGCAAAACATAATTCTTAGACCGGAAGCTGAAAAAAAGAAAAAATGTATTTACTAATGAACTGCCATTCACAATGACGTCCTTTACAACCTTGCATACGTAGGCCTGGGCCTAATTTCCGTTTGCCTCCTTCAGCTCGCTGGCTTGGCGACTGTTTGTTGACTTGATTTTTCTCAGTTGTTTGTTCATGTTTATTCTCCCGAGTGGGATAAGCATGCAAACTATGAATGAGGAATGGTTTATCCCGTTGAGGGAAAATCTGCCCACATGTTCCTGGTTTTCAGCTTTTGCCTCTGGGGTGATCTCCATTACAAATCGGCCCAAAGCCTATTAACCTAGAGGTCACAGATCACGCCGGTCCGCGATCTTTCCTTGTCCTGTTTCCTCGACCGTGCTGTAATTTTCAACTGTCGTAAATCCCCGCTGGTGGTTGCGGATAAAAATAATAAGATTTACTGTCCACTGCAGGACGTGGACGGAAAGAGGCGATTGGGGTTTTTGTAGGGGTCTAATGAGGGTCATCACGAAGGGTCATTTGTTGCATGCCTCATCAGGGGGTCATGAAGCCCAGTTTGGGGGTAGATTAACTATCTCACAAAGCTAAGGATTATGATGGATTATCACATACCGAGAATTTGATAGTCACAACCGGCACCTCACTGGCCGGAAAAGGGCATGATTCAGGAAAGGGTACACGGAGTTTTGACCTCTGACCTCTACATATTTTAAGGTATAATTAGTCGCTCCAGATAAATACCTGCATGTGCTCCGATATCATTTTATATAGAGCTAGGAAACAACCACAACAGTGGTACTCTTACACAACCTGACCATTTATATTGAGGGATTTGAACCTTGGCAGTTTAATCTTAAATTAATGTTCAATACTAAGAAGGTTCCAACAGTTGTTTTTTGTAACTTGTATGAAATCGAAATCTTTGCCAGCACCATTGTTAATAACATTCTGAATGCGAGTCATCACATAAAGCAAAAGCTATGACCGAGCATGCCGTTATCACAGATTCACAGACCATTTGCCCGTAAGCTCATCTATCAAATTTCATCTCGCGCTGTTCAGTTTCATATTCCGTGCATCAAACAACACGATTCTACTTGCCTAAATGCTAGGCAGAGAAAAAAATTCAGCCAGACTAGTGAGGATTTCTTTCCTGTATTTCATTTATGGTTTTCCGTCCTCAATTGCGGGGGTTGGATAACAACCTAGCCATGCAAAGAAAAAAGGCGACACTTCAGATCCAAACATGTTTACAAGTCCATTTATGGAGGGTTCATGCAAACGCAACACTTCAAAGGTTAATGATGTTGATAAGTAGAGAAAATTACCCTCTTATCTTCATAGTTGGTTCATGCTTACAGCATGTATTTTGTGGACAAGAAGTGAAAATTGAAGGGGTTGCTTTACTGAACTGATGAACCATGACCAATAATTTGAGTGTTTGCAGCAGATTATCGCTTACCGGGAGGGGCTTAGCTGTTGCACCATGACCAATAATTTGAGTGTTTGCAGCAGATTATCGCTTACCGGGAGAGGGGTTAGGGTTAAGGATTTTCATATGGGTTGTTATTTTTAGATTACTTTGGTGAATCTTTTCTACCACATAGCCAACTGGTCGTTTAGCAACAAGTAAACAAAACAATGCATTCATCTTCTTATTACTTCCGTCCATCAGGAAATAATATGAACACAGTAATTTGAAAAGACGAGCTCGGACATACCACATTTTTGAAAGTGGAAAATGGTGAGGTTGATATCTCCATTCGTTTAATTGAAAACAGCATTTGATTCCAACATTAATTCACATCTATCTGTAAAAAAAAGTCTCATAGCTCTAAAACACAACAATTCTCGTTATATTTTGTATTATCATTTTTTTGACACCCCTAAATTTGTTCTTGTGGTTAAATGGTAGAGTCTCGTTGCACATGTATTGAATATGGTGGGTTGGTCAAATCCATTATGTGCGTGGTCGTATAATGCGTCCTTGCTTTCTTACTGTGTGAGGTGCAATGTGGATACACACGTGGTATGGCCTGCATCACTGCTGCATAAATCATGAAGCATTGTGTGCATGTGGTTCAGAAGCCCATACAAAAACCGCTCACTGTATTTTTTACGAGCGACACTGTTCTATGCTCTTCATCTCCTTCAAGTGCATCATCTCCCTCATCCAGGAATGAGTCATCACTACAGTCTACATAGGTAGCCTACCTGTATCTTAGAAGTGCCTAATTGTCCATTATCTGGTTGGAAAACTGTTCGTCTACGCATGGAGAAAGTCTGCGCAACGGTTTGTGAGTATATTGAATAGTACTTTTAAATTACCTGATTACTGTTTGTTACTTTCAGGTGTCCAAAATTTGAGAGAGCTGAAAAAGTGTAGAGCACTGGAGGTGATCTACCATTCTGCCTTCATTATGATATGCTATATAATGACTTCAATGCTTGGGTAACAATACCACTCTTTGTTGTTCTGCTTTGTTAATTTAGGAAGCACGTTGCAATGGGTGAACTGAATGGATGACGTATGTAAAACTTTACCCTAGTGACGCTTGGTGATTGGCGCCCCTTGTTACCAAAGATATATGCAGATTTCCAGACGTGTTTAATTTATGGTTTGGTCCTCTACTTAATCACATGTTGTTTGAAGTGGCAATCATCCCTTTGTTGGCTTAATTTGTTCGCGCTTGAGCGGATTGGGCCGATGACGTAATGTTAGTCAACATTCAGCTCAGCATTCCAGTTTTCTCCTCGAACGAAAAAGCCAAGCTTTCAGTGAGGGACGGCATTTTTGCAACATCGATCTTCCTGTGAACTGTCAGCTGAATTGGGAATTGTGTAGCAACCGACCCGCAGCCGCACAGTGGATTTTTATTGCCTTACCGAGGACAAACTTCAGTTTTTGACGCCCGTACTTGTCAAAAATCTCTTTGTTCTTTTTAACGACACTGTACATAGATTTATCTTTCCAGAATACATCCTGGATTGGAACTTTTATACAACCTCCGTCGACCCCCAGGCATTTTTTATCAGCTGACTTTAGATTAACACGTCCAAATCTGCTTTTACAGATTTGACGTGGTAATCTCTAATGATGCGTTAGTAGTTTGATCTTCGAACTCTAATCCAACACGCAGTGTGCCGAGATTTGCCAGCGTTTGCCACATACAACTAGGCTGCTTCAACAGAAGGCAAGCAAATCAGAACTTTTCCTACCCATCTGTGACCGATTGGATCTTGTATTACCAGTGTGGGTAACAGACGTGAAGTTTGTCCACATATTTACCTCTTGGTGGACGCTGTGGGGAGTTGCACGTGTCTGAACACGCTTTGAGCACGTCACAGGATTTAAGTCTAGTTTTCTCTCTGTTCCCCGACCGTGTTCCAAGGCCGTTTCCACCCATTGAGGTCGCTCGCTCTACCCGGTGATTCAACTGTGCCGCACTGGGAGTTCTCGGAACCTAGAGGGAGCTGAACTTTTGTCGATGTTATCTTATAAGACACAAGGTTCACCACCTGTTGAGGAATGTTACTAGAGAAAATGAACGGGGTGGAGGTCCACACTTCGTCGGTCGACCGGGAACTGAAACCCAACGAGAAAGTAAGTAGAATATCAAAGAGACTGTGTTCATATTTTGAAAAGTTGAAGGTTATAGGCTGCTATACGCAACTCTCATAGCCCTCGTATGGGCTCATGTGGCCAGGGCCTCATCGTGCTGTTTACCATGGTTTGTGGCATGATGAAGTCAGTCGGGAACTGGGGCAGATTTTGGCAAAAGAGCTCTAAATCGACGCTAAATCAGCTTCCTGTTTTATATCATAGATCAAGGACAACCAAAGATCTTTCAAGTTTTCGTTTTAAATCATCAGTATTTGATCTGATTCTATTTTATTTCCACAAATATGGGGGGGTCATTTTGCCGTGTATCAGGCTAGCCTCTTTATACCCTTGTCTGTCGTGCGTATCAGTGGAATGTTTCATGCACAATCATTGAAGCGTATAAGTATTGTATTTTTGCTGTAAATTCGCAGTGTAAGGTGTAATCTATAGACCTACCTGTGTGTATTCCCACGATTGCGGGTAATCTGTAACCCCAGATTGAACAGTGGAAATTTTCCAACACCGTTTGTAGCGTTTGCGCCTAGTAAAAAATGGTGAACCCGACTGTCTTTGTGTGGGATCAAGTTGGACCTTTGACTTGAAACCAAAAGTTTATTGATGGTAGGGTGCCAGGAATGCTTGCAGGTGTATGAACTTGAGATTTGAATGAGGCCAGGCTGACTGCACGCTGGGGTAGTGAGAGGGTAAATTCGGATGGGAAAATGTGGGTCCTCTTCAGAAAGTTTAAATCCCTCTTGAAAATAGAATTACATGTACTACAAACTTTTGATAAATTTGTCCAGACATTCGAAGCTTTACCTTTCATGAAATGTAACGACTGCTCGATTTTTTTGGATCCATTCTTGCAAATCTTCTTTTATGTTGATGGTGACTTCTTGAAGATGACTTGGCGCTTTTCATTTCCTTTCAATAAAAGACTATATCATGTTCACGGAAGGAACCAATTTTGTAAACTCTGGATCATTTAATAGTTCTCTTTTACGTGGGCGCATTTTCAGTCGTGGCTGTATCAGAGGATGCCCGTCCCTACTGGATTGTGTTTTGTGATCTCGCATTGTTTGGGCGTTTCTGCGGTGAATTTGTGATAGTATACTCTTTTTATCGAACATGGAGGGGGTTGACCCTGTTCAGTACCCCCCCCGGGGGTACGATAATCCCCCCTTGTTGAGGTCTGTCTTCCCCTGTCTCACTTGATTCTTCAACTCTTTTGAAGCAGAAGAGAAGGATCTAATTACCTGGTGATAGAGCCGTCCAATGCCTGATATGCACGGCTTGTGTATGTTTTGTTCAAGAGTAGATCACAGGGCTATTCACAATACATCGATCAGATCCCTTGGTTTGATCTATGATCAGATAATGTCGTTTAAATCACCTTCTGGGAAGTGAACATGTAGTTGCTTTAGACAGCGCTCACAGAAGACAAAACTTTGTAAGGTCAGGCTCGTTGGGGCACTGAATTTTGAAAGCTTTTTCGTAGAAATTGAACACACCAAATACATGTACATGTTGCAGGATGTTGCAGGATGCTTGAACGTACTGAGCACATATTTCTACCTAATTGACACCCATCACCAAACGAAATGACCCGAATCCTAATGTAAATTATATATTTTCCTGTTGACTGGGTTCGTGGTGTCACATTGTTACAAATGCGTTTCTGCTTAGCAGATTATTCAAAAGAGTTTTGAAATGAAACTCAAGTGGTTATTGTCTGAAAGCAAAATGTTGAACTTAAAACCAAGCAGCTTGGTAGGCCAAAATTCCACTGCTGAATGTAGTCAGTAGTGCTTCTTGTTTGCAATTCTTTCTCTAACATTTTTGTATTCGTTTTAAATGAGCATCAAAATAAGACCTACCATAAACTTCTCTGCCCTAAACTCTAGCTATGCTAATGTCTGTGTGACTGTTTCCATCATCTAAACCATAGGGATTTGTAAACAGTCAGTCATTTCATTCACATCCTAAAAATAGGTGACGACAACGCGATATTTTTTGGGGGGTGACACCTCGCGCTGACTGTGACCCTGCATTCATCAATTCGTGAAATCTGTTTTTCTATTAGTAGTCCGCCCTAAATGTGTGGAATGTCTTTATTCAAGGCAAATGTCGCATGCCTTATGCTTCAGGAAATAGGAGACATGTCTTAAAATATTGGAAATAAATCTACCTCGTCTGAAAGGCTAAAGCACGATGGAGGAGAACTCGGCCTGCCTTCTTTTGCGTGTATTTTACTTCTGATGACAGCCGTTCCCCAGGCGTTTGATGAATTCAATTTTAGCTTAATTGTAGCCTTACAAAATATCACCTCACGCCTCTGTTACTTCACGCCCCCAATCAAACTACTTTAAATTTAATCTCTGCCTTTTACCTTTTACATATATGTAGTTTTAGCTTTATTAAAATTACATTAACATACTTTAGTATCCGAGACCATTGTTTGAGTTGAATTATTCAACCAATGGTACGTGTTGCCCATAAAATATCCTTGAGCCGAGGCTAAGCACCATATGTTTGCCAGTTGTTCTGCCGGCAAAGAAATATGCGTCATTATTTAATTTAGAGAGTCTCAAAGTCTGCTCCGTTTTCCTGTCAAAATTCTCCCTCAACTCGCCACCATCCTCCTGGGTTTGACCGTTCAGTTGTTGTCTGTCCTTGTTTATACATAAACATTGTCCTTGAGACTTATCTTGTGTTTGTTCGTTTGGAATTCTCGAAATACTGCCATTGCCACGCATGTCTGCCCATCGAACAAAAATCCAGAATATTTCTTATTATTTGACGCCACTTGATTCGGTATCAACTCAACCGTTTCCTCGTCGTTTGCAGGAATTTGCATATCGATTGTTTCGCCCTTGCTCACAGTTTTTAGGTCTTAAAAATAAGGTACATATGTTCAAGAGTTCGAAAAGTTACATGATCAGTTTTAATTATCGGTTTTTGCAAATAAATTAGTTTTGGTATTCGCTTGGTAATTGGCGTAAACTGTAAGGAGACTCTTAAAAGGCAGCTTTACGTTTCACCCAAAGTTTCTTCGAAGCAAATACACCAAGCAGACAGAGGTATTTCTTTCCCTTCCCATGGTCCTCAAATTTCACATAATTCACAAATCGAGTAACATGTTGCTACGAATGTTTACGTGTTTTCTACAGTTGTGCCTGGGCGTGCTTATAAATAGTCCCAGTGATTTTAGAAAATACCTTCTGAATGCGTGCGTTGCACGCTGTGCTGTGGTGCAGACTGGTTGTCTAATGTAAACAAAGAGGCGGGTGTAATTCGATTTTATTTTAATCACAATCCATCTGTGTTCAGTTACATTGATGTGGAAGGTCAATTACTTTTTTCAATCACTCGAATGTTACATGTATGTATCTCTCTTTTCTCAAAAATACCGTTTACTTTTTAATTTGAATTCTTTCCTGAGTTTCCTCACAAGGTATCTGGACTGGAAAGAAACAATTTTTCAACATTACTGCAAGTCATGCGCCAGTGCATGACTAAAAGGTGCAATTTTACCTCTGATGATTTTTATGAGACATTGTACCCACAGTACAATGACATTTCCGCATAAACTGCCATGCGTTTGCCTACATGCTTTGTTAAAAGGCGCCATTTTGTGAGTTGACACCCATCATGACTCTTTCGAAACGTGAGTTGTATAACCATTCGGATTGTCATACAGCTAAGAGACCATGGAACAATAACTGCAGTCTAGGCACTTTCTCTATGATTTGGTCCACAAATTACGCGCTTTAATTGGCCTCAATAACAATAAACAATTGTCGTAAATTACAACCAATAAGCCTAAAGACGTACGTCTCGTATATACATGTACATGTACGTGCCTCTGCCTTCCAGTACTAACATGAACCGTGAACAGACTGATTTCCCTCAGTAATTCAGACCTGGATGTAGTCCGCAATATTTCTAGCCCCGGGGATCGTAGATACACCATTGCGGGACTTTTATTATCGTGCCCTCGGTGAGAGATACCCCCCAGACCGGGTTTATTATGTAATACATTGTATTTGAAGCCATTTTGCTCGACCTTGTCCCGGCAGTGGAGTAGTTTGTCCAAGTGTCGAATTTCACATCTTCAAGGTTAAACTCAAAAGGCGTTTGTATGCCACCGTTGCGTGACAAGCAAGTGATTTTGGTTACCATAAAATGTAAGCTGGTAACGATATTGAAAAATTGTTGTCCATTTTGGAGTTTTCCTTTTTATACTCCGTTCCTCGGCAGAGGGTGGTTGGAATCCCTGGTTAGTTGATGCAATACATGTATATGGTAGAACATGAACACATGACAAAGGTCAAAGCGTGAGCGAATTCAGTTTGGAATTGAAACTACAACGCAGGTTAACTTTGTCTGAGTCAGGTTTACCAGAAGTCCAGAACGTGTCAAAGTGACATGTCAACCTCGCCTCTCGATTTCCCTACTTTACTTTGTAACCGTATCGCTTTCATTTCTGTAGTGTGAGGACAATTTTGACAAAAAAGTGATGTGGGATTTTTGCCCCTCGTGTCACACGACCCACGGGTGTCCCCGACTGGCCGTAATTCACAGCGAGATCCGTGGTTTCTGTCCGTCAACATCCTTCAGGGCTTTGCTTTTGGTGCTCATAAACAATTTCATTTGGAACCTGACGAATAAGCGGAAAAAACGGATTGTGTAGGAATGTGATTTTTTTTTGGTTGCGATTTCAATTTTGTATAATAAGGCGAATGGGTGGAGTGTTTATTTTGATACATATTTGAGCGAAAAGGAACCGTTATCCCCATATCAAACAGCACTGTCAGTGCCATGCATCCAATTTGGAGTTTACTGAAAACGTTAGAAATGGCCCTTGACTTTTAAAATCAAGTACATGTACATGTATATATATTTCCTAGACGGAAGAGGGTTGTGCCCCCCATTTGTGTAAATTGGAAATAAAAAGCCATGAAAGCCTGACAAAAATAAGCAATTTAAGTTATAACAATTTATGTGATTTTAAAATTGCTATTGCCCTGCTGTGTTTTTGAATAGAAGTAATACGTAATGTTGATGTACCAAACTCCGCATTTTAAGTCAACTACCCTGTTTGATCAAGTGACGAAACATTCCATGCGTAACAAAACCCCGTATAATATTGCAAATATGGAGGAACTCTTCCTTCATGAATTTGTGCATCGTTGTTTATAGATGTTTTGTTTAGAACAAAGGAAGTTTTTCTCCAGAGGAATACCCCTTTCGTTCCGTCATGGTCCTCTTTATGACGCAGTCACAGCCCATATCGTAGCCATACTGACACATGCCATGCTGGGTTGCCGTGTCCAAAATAATACTCCGTCAACGACTGGCTCGTGTTTATGCCTGACCTAAGATGTCATAAACGGTATTTCACAGTCTTGATATGCCTGAGAAAATAAACATGCAAATGTGAACATGGTGCAGAAGGTATGTTGCTTGTTACGAATGTAGACTTTTCGCTTGGCTGACATTGGTAAAAGGCAAATCGTCAATTCAGAAACTTATTTGTATTTGACCTGACACGGCGTGGGAAAAGGAATGTGTGTGAAGCGAATTTGTGTGAAAGTTGTGAGTCGATTTCCAACAGGTGTGAACAGGTTGAGACATCATTAGTTATAAACCAAGACGATCGAGACTATTTGGGTTATAAGTTCTACAAGTAAAATGTGTTGATCCAGTGTGGTTCATGCTCACAGAGTTCATGCAATGTCAATAACTTGTTTCCTGGTAGACACTTTTTAACGGGAAATCGTCCACATCGGAGTTTCCTGTATTGGTTTGTTATCGTCTGGAACACTCTTCTTAATTCAGTTTTGTTCCAGAGAAAGCTTTTTAGGTGACACTGATAACCATGCCCCCTAAATAATCAATTTTCGGTGGACAGAGTTACAGGTTTAATGTGCTGTAATAATTTAAGCATTTTGAATCCCGATTTGTTTGTTTTGTGTTGTTCAAATTGGTTCGATAATAGTGGGATATCACCATTCATATTTCAAAATAGCAACTAGGTTTTTCAAGTGACGCCATCAAAAGTGAATGGCTCTACCACTTATTATGATACAAGTCTGTAATTTGTCTGAAACAAACAAAGTGGAAAATAACTCAATAGACGTACCGCAAAAGTTCATACGAACTGAGCGAGAAAGACACGACGATTTTGGACATGTATGTACATGTACACGTACATGTACACATGTATGTGATAGGTGGTCAATTCAATGCAGAAGTGGTCAACAAAATCTTGACCTCGCTGGTTTGACCAACGGGGGATTATCGTGAATGGTCTAACGAGGTGGATTGATTACTTCCACGAGTTTTGGAATGGACAATAATTGGGCCAAACAGGTCATTCGTGTCAGTAAAGGTCAAGTAGAGCAGATTTATAGCATTTGTTTTTGTGTGTGGGTTACTCGAATGTCTGCGTATTTGCTATTGTGGTGAATATTTTCATATTTGTCTCGAAAGGTAAGAGAATCTATACATTAGAAACAATCTTCGGGTCTTTCAGGAAATGAACCTCATTGCTCAGCCAACTATAGACGATTCGGTGCACCATTTAGTACCTTTTTATTTGTAAAGAAAAAGACCCCGACGGAGAAGAAATCTGATGCAAGAGGGCTCCCAAATAACATAAAAAATCCAACTATGAATCGCTTTTTTATTGAAGCCGTGACTTTTGATTGATCGAACATACATTTAAGTTGGGAGTACAGTGGAGGATCTCCGTTATTATGGGTAAATATTGATTAAGTATTATGAACTGATATCTGCAGCAGGAAATAACGTGCTGTTTTCTTCAAAACGGTCGGATTAAGTTAAGTTAAATCAACCGAGTGGGTATTGTGAACAGAACTCGTAATCCACTTGAACCTGGAGTAACCTCATACACACACAATGCAGATTTATAACTTGGAGTATGATGCTGGAAGGTGATTTCTCTACCTTCATAGGGTTCAAGGTAGAGTCGGGTGTCTCGACTTGTTTCTTTCTTTTGGCGTCCTTGGGGATGATTTTAGATATTTACCTTCTCGCTTTCTTGGATCCCTGTGAGGGTTGCCCCATGCCACCGTAGGCCTTTCTACAAACACAGCCACCCTGTCCCCCGGGGCTTTGTTGTCCTGCCAGCCCAGTCACTTTTTGAAGAAGTTAACCAAACACTTTCCAAGGACAATGGGTTTTTCTAAAAGGGATTTCGACTCCTATGGAAAGTGAACTTTATTATTCTTTGGTGGTCCCTTCATTTGCAGTGAATGGTTTTTGTGTGTGTTTTGTATAAATACACCACCGTTTGTTACTGATGTACAGTGAAACATGGTAGGATCGTATGTAGTTAGACTACACCGGTGAGCTTGCAAGCTTTCACTTTACACAACGTCACAAGTCCTTTTAATTTTTAGTGGCATGCATTGTGTAAAGTACATTCACCGAGCGAAAGACACAAATAGCCCAACAGGGAAAATATGATGGCATAAATTAACTACTTTGTTTTGGTCTCGGAGAGAAAAAAAATCTCGCCCAAAATCACGAAAGGATCAATGCTGAATCGCCTAAATGGCTGCCACTGTATTTCAAAACTTGTTTCCTTGTTAATTGTATATTTATGCATTTTTTTCACGCAGCTTGAGAAGGAGATAGGTGTGCTGAAGAGGAGACTACGAGACGCCAATGACATCATTGAGGACATGGGCAGACGGATGGAGTTACAGAAGACTAGGACTAGACAACTCATCACCGGCTGGAAGTTACGTCTGCAAGAGGGGGACGAGAAAGTGTTGCAGGTCGCGCAGGAAAAAGACGCGCAATTAACGGAACTGGTGTCTGAACTCATGTTCATTGAGGGATGCCTGAAAAAAGAACGAAAGGAAATCTTGGAAAAGTTGAACAAGAGAGACTCCAAAATCAGACAGCTGGAGCAGACGGTTAAGAAGCAGCAGAGGCAAATAGACGCCTTGAACAAGGCCAATGAGAAACTCCTTGGAAGTTTGCATGAGATAAGGCTCGAGACGCCAGATTCCTCCCCCTCCCCCTCACCAGTTCCTGACTCCACCCCTGAAGAAGAACCCTGTGTAGAGAATGGGGAGAGGCCACACAACCCCCACTTAACCCAGTTTCTGAGACCTGAGGGTATGGTACCCAGGCAGCGGGCTAGCACAGTGGAGCTTCTGCCCTCTTTACGCAGGGACAGACGTAGGGGGATTCCCAACGGTTCCATCCTAGCCCACAACAATAACAAGTCTCACTTAGAACCAGACCCCCACCACCAACCTCAACAACACCGGGTACGATTCCAAGATGAAGTCTTTGAGGAGGGTTTACCCAGGAAAGATTGTCTGGATGTGGAACCGGTAGACATGCGAATCCGGAAAATATCTCTACCAGCTTACAGACTACCGACAGATGATGAAGATAGTATACGATTCTTTTAAAGTGACCCCTGACCCTTGACCACTTCGAAACTGAACACATTCCTCCGGATGTATGACCCCGTGATTTGTTTATTTATTCACGGAAACTTTGATATATTGCACAGTCGTAATCATCTGTCCATTTTTTTGCATGTATGTGGTTCTTTTTCATCACTGGTTAACAACCCACTGCGAGGCGTTTAGAAATAGTATAAACATTGTTAATAATATGTTTGTCTGTGTAAACGAAATCTTCCCAGATATATTAAAGTGTATCTGATTCTTTTTTCAGATGTCATTTTAACTTATGAATCTATAATACTCAAGGAAAAGCTTTGTGTACGTGAACGTTGATCTTAAGGTTCAGCATGGTTAACATTTTCCTGAATATCAGTACTTTATAGTCCAAAGAAGTAAGATATGCGAAATTCGCTGTGGTTTTGTAATAGCCTTGTTGTTCTGTCTGCCTGGAAGAATTCACCAGTGATCATATTTATTCTGACACATCACTTATCTTGTAAAATGAGCCACTGTGCTGTGCCATTAAGGCCTAGGCTATACACCATACTACTGCCTTGCCGAAGTCAAATAACTCAAATTTTTAAACTTCGGCACGGCAATAGCGCGGTGTTTAGCGCGATTCGGCACGGCAAGTTGGCTTCGGGAACTTGACAAGGTACGTCGCGGTATCGTAGTTCCATATGGCAGCGACACGACACTGGTCTTAGCGTAACTGGCGCGCTGTTGCCACACTCATTTGAAATAAGTTCGGCACGACAGTGGTACGACGCCTGTTGGCCTGAGAGGTTCGACTGGATGTACATTTATCTGTTTATGTGTTACTTAAAGAACATGTTTAGAGATTAGGGTGAGATATTTTGGATTATTGAAAGAGGATTAATGTTTTTCGCCTCTTACTTGTACCAGGCTCTGATCTGATAATGTACATGTATGTATATCATAGTGACTTTGTAAGCGGGATTTAGCAATTCCGAGAAAAGTTGACATGCTTGGAAACTGCGTGTTTACCGGTACAATGAAAACGACAAGTCATATGACTCATGTCCCGTCGAAGGATCTGAATTTGGTTTCCGGCACAATAAACAAACCGAGAAGAAATTTACGGTTTTTTGCTTTATGTTGATGCTAGGTTATGTAACGAAAATGTCTTTACATGTACATGTATTTATTCCCCAAGACAATCCCTGGTCCTCTGTTCGGTAGAAGATTTTAATGCTATCGTAATCACGTAATCATCCTCCTGGTCACAGCTTTGTTAGTAGACCTCAAAAGTCGAGCGACACTTCATAAAATTGCGATTTTAAAAAACACAAAAAAGCCTCCACGTGACTACTGTGTGGCGTCAAACTTTCCATAATACTATTTCATTTTAAAATGTATTGTAAGACGTGCCTGCCAATCTGTGACAAGCGGTTAATGTGCAGAACACTTCTGAGTTAATTCTTCAGAGTCGAAGTCCTTGTTGTAATAGCCCAACCTTTACATGGAAAGTGTCAACTTTTTCTACGACCGATGGTGCTGGGCGCCATGGTGACATTTCACGAACCAATGCATACGCGTGTATGTGAGGGAAATCAGTTCAAGAGAGTCAAAACAGGCAATAATTTAGTCAAGTTGTTTTACGGATTTGTAAAGGACGATTGTTTATCGAGTCATAAATGTTTTTTTGTTTTAATTGCAAATAGAAACCAAACGCGCATTGACTTAACTGAATTCTTGATAAAGTTTGCGTGTAGACATTTTACTGTTAATTTTTAGTGTATTTATTACAGGCAAACAATTAAGGTGAATTTTGTACCTTGAAAGTTGGAATTTTCGCTCTGTTTGAATCCATCACGGCGGTTTATGGACAAATCAACAGGTGTATTTGCCTTCAGTAAATGTTTGTTAATTTAATCATATCAAAAACCCCATCTATAATTATCATGCAACATCTAGCATTATTTATAAGTAACAATAATTTTGAAATTTATTTCAAAATTGTAGCTAGATTGCCGTTGAAAATGATTATTGAATGTTTCCTCATTAAAGTGAGGCATTATTGTTAGAAGCACTTCGCTTAGACTGTACTCGCTATTTGTTCCCATATTTATGAAGAAACTGTCGATGTGATGACAGTAGCCTTGTTTAAAGTAAAAAATTCTTGCAGCACTTGTGTTTTTGAAGTAACTGTACGATGGATTACGTCCAACACTGGTAAAAACACTAACTGTTTATCGATATACATGTACATGTACTGTGTTTCATGGCAAGTGTACAACACCAACACCTACTTGAACGTTGCTTCAACGTGCCCATTTTGTGATAAGAATGTGTATTCAGACTGTATTGCGACTGTATAATGTGGTGTTGTTTGCAGAGTCTGCGTTGTAGTTCATTTTGGGGCGACCTTATCGTTTCTTTGAGCGACCTGTTCGAGCCTGAAGTTATTGTGTCCAATCAAAGAGTAAACAAAACAGTGCTAAACATACCCGTGTGTAAAATACCCGTTTGTTCTTTGCTGTTGCCGAGTTTTTAGGGAAGGTTAAAGGAGTAGGACCTACACCTTTGAATGGAAACAAACAAATCTAGCTTTAGGTTTGCAAACTAGTAAATAAGCTGCCATAATAGACAACACTGCTACATACCCCACTTCAACAATCAGAGAAAGTACAAGTTTCACAGGTGTCAGTTTCACAGGCATTAAATATAAAGCTTATTTCCTCATCTTTTTCTGTGCAGTTTTTGCAAGATTAACCAATGAGGTTTAAAGATATTTCTATCTATTCTAAGGTGATCATCCCAATTCATGCAGTCGTGAAGCCCATCGCCATTTTGAATTATGTAACTCCACTGCATGCAAAACAGAGCCATTTGGAGGGCATAGAGCCCCGTTTTGTCTACATTTCTCAGAAGAACCAGCTGCAGTGACGTCTTGTTGGTACCGGTAACCTTTGACACTCTCCCATGTACAGCCCCCGAAATGCTCTGATAATAGCAGAGAATGTGAGGACATGCAATTTTGATTGGGCTTTCGAAGGCACTTTGAGGCCTTTTTCTTACTGGCCATAGACGCTCGATTGTTGCAGGCCAGTCAATAAACTGCCATAGCCAATACCTGAAATTAAAAAAATCAGGAAAAAAGGCGTTCGAGACGCACGTCCAAATTGAGGCCCATTTTAGGATGTTTCATTTTCTCTTCGAATTTCCATTCATTAACTGATAACTTTTGAAGATACTTATTGACATCCCACAGAATGTCACCCCTAAAAGCAGTCGTGAAGGCCCTCGCCATTTTGAAATGTCGATGCCTACACTTCTCGAAAAATTGACCGTTTTTAAGTAGCGATTTCTTCCAAATCTCACTCAGACACATGCTTGCATGCCTTTTGGTCGCCTTTATCTGTCATTTCAATAAATTTTCGAGTTCATGGACCACAAAATGCTCTACGTGTGTTTGCGTAGAAATTTGAGTGCATTACAAATTGTGATGTGGCCGGCGGAAGCACTTTTCGATCTATTTACCGGCCTGCAGTGTACCCCTTTGACGAAACCTTGTTCGGCAAAGTGCGCCCCCTGTAATCGTTCGAATGGAGCTTGGTCACACGGTCTGTGCTTTGGGGCTACGCATTGGACTTTTGACACCCTTCAGTAAATATCTGCAGCCGTAGGCATATTACAGAGGGATTGCACTCCACGGTTTTCAATGGTTCCTTGCCATGTCAAGGAACTATTACCGAGCACCAACTGTAAAGGTTCAATTGCTCGTTTGGGCTCAAACCAAGATGACCTGATCAGATAAACTTCCATAAGATAACAGTTCATAATGTCAAAACTTCTCAAATGTTTTAATTGTATAGCATCCTTAAAGTCTGTGCATAATAGACGTCCTTCTCTAAATTGTTGACAGATTGCACCAAATCCAAAAGTAATGTGGAGATTCGTTGGTCCCCTTCTTCTTACAACGGGGAATCTACCTCCCATCCCACCTCCCCCAAAATTCTTCAGTAAACGTTGGTGGCGTTGTGACAGATTGCTAGAGCCGTAATGTAATTTTCTACCCAGTTCACAGGAGGGCGCTCTTTAGTGATTGTCAGCCAAAGACCTTGGAGCGCTCTCACGGAAGATGTTTGTATTCAGTGTCTTATTTTTGACTCAGTTTGGAAAGGTCACTGACCTTGTATCCTTTATCCACTTTACTACTTGAACGTAGAAGTTTTCAACCTTTTCAATGAACATTTGAGGTTTGAATACTGTGCGCAAAATCAGCACAATAATCGCACCATTTCTCCATGATCGCACAGACGTCGCCGGGAAAGGGGGGGGGGTCGGGAGAGCACTCATCACCAGCAGCAAACTGACAGACTGTTAACAGTTCAGATCAAACGGTAAGAGAAGATCAAATCTAAGCGATTGTACTTTCATGAACATTGGTGTTCTTTATCCTTTCTATTTTATTTGTTTCTGATTTTCCCTCTCTCTTTCTATGAAATGTACAAAACCTCAACTTTTATAGGGAAAGCACTTATTCACAGAGAGTATTTGATGGGACAAAGTTATATAATTGGTTTCCAGTCTTATAGTTATGAAACCCAATAATTTCATTTTCTTTTTAGAAACGTCGCATATTTATGAATAAATTGTTTTGTTGGTAACAAATTATTTGATCATCAGACCGCAAAACTGAGGCACAGTTCTCAAACCTTGTAAACCGTTCCTGCTTGGTAATTCTACCATATTATATGGTATCAACGTTAGAAAATTAAGTCGGTTACATTACTTACTTATTTATTATTACTAATATTTATTCATCCAAATGAAAGGATAAAAGGGATACAAACACATAATAGACAAGACAACAATGCATATCCATCAAAACACGATCCATCTATTTACAATTGTCAATGGGCTATTGTCATCAAGGCAACGGGGCTTTCCCAAGGCTTCCTAAGCAGTATCTGGAATGTCAAAACACGATTCATTTATTTATAATTTTAATTAATGGCCAATTCTCATTAAGGCAGTTGGGCTTTGCCCAAAGCTTCCCAATTAGGTTATGTTCTTGATTAAGTTGTGCACCGTACTCTACGCCTTTTATTTATATTTATTTATAACAAGACTGGCCCCCAACTCCTACGTTGGGTAAGTGCGCTCACTGTTATGGACTTTTTCACTCATGCATTCATGATTATGCACACATACGCATAAATAACCATGGCGCGGATAAATAAGAATGTATAAGTTGTCTTGACCAGTACAAATTAAAAAATGGACAGATTTCTTTTTATTTGACTTCATCATTTATCATAAATGTACTTCAGAGATACCATTTGGAACAACTAATAGGTTCAATTACATTTGTCAGTAGAACACATTAAATTCTGTTACGTCATCAAATCAGAAATCGATATCCTCCGATTTCCTAATATTCTAAAACAAGCGCCTAAAGTCTTCTCCTTTTCTGGCCGATCATCCCGGCGGCTTTTCTCCGGTACACCGTATAAACTTGAAACCTGACGTGGATATTGAACACCAAACCTGATCTCTAGATATACTTACAAGTGTGACATTATGATGACGTCATCAGGTGTTAATGTACAAGTATTGTGATTGCAGATTTTAAAACGACCATCTTCTATCACCGTATCCCATGAACTGAGACAGGTATTACGTTTATATTTTGGGACGTGGTACATAAAGGATACTTTGGAATGACCTGATTCTTTTTTATTTTACTTCTTTTAATATACGTGTACTCAAGAGATTATCTTTCACAGATAGTGACATTTATTTTCAAAATATCCGGGAACTTAAAAAACAGTTCATATAGTTTAAAGAATCTAGAAATTTTCCATCAACATATTTCTATATTCATAACAATTCTAACATAATATTGAGGGACAAAATATCCATCGCACAAGAAGAATCATCACAAACGTGGGAAATTTGGAAAACCCGATTCAATCAATTACTATAAATCCACCTGTTATACCCGTGCACGAACGGCAAGTGAATGGCAAGTGCTTAGCAACATGACGTCACATTTTATACAAGTTCCAAAATCCGTGATAACAGTGTATATACGATTGGTGCATTTCTCAATAATTGTTGGAAATAATTATCCAAACCTGATCACATAACGAAAGTATTATTAATTCTGACTCTATTAAGTCAAAAATAATCCTAAAATATCCTCGAATAATTAAAAAGTTTCGAGACTTCGTTTACATCAAATGCACGTTCGAAATTAAAATGTACGTACGACCCTACCACGCGTTATTCGTTTGCATGCATGCTGTCAGCGCTGTACCCGCTAGCTGTTCACAGCACAACGACGGTACTTTCGACAGTCAGCACGATGTTTCGTCGCAGAGATATGTTGTTTGTAAGTACTTCTCACACAAAACTTCAAGTTATAAAATTGGACGACTTGCTTGTCTTTTTTTTGGTTTGAGAATTTGGAAACAAGCATATATGTGCATTTTGGACGCAAACACCATTGTGTGGATACGTGGATGTGGTACAGTCCGTACATGTGTTTTATTTCTCCATGGTACATGTACTGTGACCGGACCGCGAACCCGCACATTCGAATGGACGGTAGATGTACGATAATGTTTATTGCGATCGACTCCAACGTTCAACCACAAGTTGTGTACATAATGATAGTTTTAGTTGATATCAGTTCCAACCAGCAAGATGGCTGACTTTTCTGACATAGACGACGTGAACTGTCTGTTTGCTTAGATTAAATATTTGTAAATGTAGGTTTAGTGTCATCTTCATGGGATGTATTTTCCCTGCCTTAATTGGACCACACTCCCAATTTGTTAGGATTTGGTGGTGGATTGAACATGGGAATTCCACTGTCATGACTTCTCTTTTCCTTTACCACTGAGTTACAGTGTTATCTTTGCATATCCCTTTACTCTTTTCTGACACTGTAGACTTTATTATCACAAATTTTGTGTGTCTCACTTGTCAATTACTGTGAGTCCTAACTTTTAAGACTGTACGTGGTACTCTGTAACCTATGTACATGTATATATTGTCTTCAACTTCAACTTCCTAAAGGAAGGAGTTTCATATGGATTGTCCTTCAGGGTTTCATCTAGGATTAAAATAGTCCCCTGTTCAACTCCAGCCAAGTTTCAATACATGTACTTCCTGTTCACTTCCACTAATTCTTTTCCAAACTGATACCCCTGGGTACCCTTTAAGGCCATATACTGTTATGCCCCAACTATAGCGTCTGTCCCAACTACAGTCCCAACTGTAGTGTTGAAGGTTGGCTGGCCCAACTATTGTTGACCAATTTTGGTAGAAAATTTCTCAACCTTATCTTTATGCATCTCACCCTTGACAATTCACCTAAAATATGGCACTTCATTTATGACATCACACATGGCTTTGGCACTTGCTCATTGGACCTCTGTGCTGTAGTTGGCCCAGCCCAACTATAGCACTCTAGTTAGGACCAGCCCAACTGTAGTTGGGACTGATGCCGTAGTGGGGCGTAACATATCCATTGCACCAAGTATGTTGGAAGGAAACATAAAGTTGTTCACCGGTGTTACAAATTTATGTAAAAATGGGGTTTGTTAATGCTGGACAAGCAAAAGCTGCCTGTCCAAATTTTTTTTTACCCGTCCTCAGGACAGGGGGACAGATGGCTGGATGAGACAATGTTGCTTTTATTACAGATGTGTCTGTAATCATGTGGCTTGGATGGGGGAGGGCATGTCAAAAGACAAGGGATGGTAGATGCACAGGGGTCAGTATAAATATACAGAAATTTGACTGGATGATTTGACGTCATTCAACAGTCAGACAATTTGGAAAGACTTCCATATCTGGCTGCCATAATTTTCAAGTTTGAAAATGCACACGCATGTTAAAAACATGCTTGCACAGGAAAAAACTTTGTCTCTGACAATTTCAGTTGGCCTGAAGCTAGATTGACCTGTTTCCAATACAACACAAGCTGAGATGGAAGTGACATGTCTGTTTGGTGTTGATACGTGCTGACTGGCTGTGGAAATATTATTGACAGTTTTATCGGACTACCTTTATTATTTCATCCAGTGTGTGTTACAGTTGTACTTTGTCATGTTTGAAGGACGTGCCAAGATAGCCTGTCAGTATTCTTTGTTTTTATCAGAATTTGGAACATTATGATACACAGCATGCAATATGGTAGCTTGTAAGAGACAGTCGTAAGAGAAAAACTATGGTCTTATGCAGCATATTTAGAAAGATTGGATGACATTCTGATTATTTGATTTTGATGTGTCACAAAATCAGCAACATGGCCGTCAATATGTCAGTCATTCTTGTTATCACAGTCTTTGACAAAAAAATGTCCAACTTGTTGGTATTTGCTTTGTTTATAATTCATATGTGTATTTGTAACATACGTTACGGCTTGCAGGGACCCTAGAAACCCAATCAAGTGTGTAAGATGTTAATCAGTCATCAGCTTGTTTGTCATTATTGGTTAAAATCACCTCGCAATAGATGGTTAATCCTCAAAGAACAGAAATGTAAAAATTGGACAAAGTAAGAACGATAGGCCTATGTTTTTGAAATCAACTTGTAATAAGTTGCACGATACCCTGTACATACAATGGTGTTTGTATTATCCTTCAGAAACAGAAGCATGTGGAAAAACAAGTGTTGGACTTCTGGTGTGGTTTTAGTCCAAAAAATGTTGATTTCAAATTTAGATAAGTAATGTATCAAAATCCATGCTGAAGTATTATTGTGTTGGACATGATGACAATATGTACAATGCAAACTCCTTTTCTTTTATCGCTCATAACTACATGTACATGTGTCAAAGCTTTCGGCACACATTTAGTATTTCTTTTTACTGTGGATCACTGTGAAATATGGAAAGTAAAAGCAGGGAAGAAACAATTTTGAGTATCAAAATTACCTACATCAGCCGGGTTTTGAGGTACGTGTATTTTTTCGTTACATTTACATACAAACATGTTTCACAATCTCAGATTATAGTGTGGAACAGCATCGTTTGACCCTCTGACATTTCAGCATCAGTTTCTCTCATTTGAACAGTTGGAAAACCAATTGCTTTTATTCTTCATTTCTGTTTGATGATTGTCAGATTTTTCTGTTTATTACACCAGGATGACTGAAGATCTGCTACAAATGAAGCAAGATTGTCATCTCAAATTAGAGAGGCATGCCCTATAATTGTGCTGGAGATCTGAAGAGAAACCTTTGATGCCCAAACCAGACCCTAGATGTCATGTGAATAACCTCCCCACCGCTGCACATCAACCAAGACACTCATTAACGACAGAAGTTTATTACCATGGAGAAATGGCGTGAACAATCGTGACTTGCGGGCCGCAAGCATTATTTAAATGTATGCACTGGATCAAGCGAGAGAGACTTTACAAGTGCGGTACATGTGTAGCAAGCTCCTTTTGGATTTGTTCATTGAGGCAATTCTTGTTCTTGCGGCAAGGCAATTTCTGTCTTGTATTTTGCAAAAACACGCCTGGAGCTGTGTCAATCCTCATACTGGTACATTTAGCTGTTCAAGGCCAGGGGACTTCAAGATTTTAAGGTAAGTGGTTTAAGTGATTTTCCTTTTGGAAGTTTTCACCGGTTATTCAGTAAGGTAAATGATACAGCCTCTTCATATCAGGAAAAAAAGATTCACAAAAACTGAATTAATGAAAAAAATCGTTGTCTTTAGGAGAATGCCAGTCTCTGGTTTGCGTAGCCCACATTGTCATGACAGGAATGTTAGCTTCAAGCTTGGCAATTCGGTTTTTATAAAATGTCCACCTTAAAGCAGTCCAATCATGCTTGCTGCTGTTTCTTGACATTTGGAGAGAAAAAGAAAAGTGAGTACAGTAGAGCAAAGACAGCATAGGTTGTGACATTGCACATTGTTGATGGAATGAATTTTTCTGACGTGTCATAGATTTTTGTTACTACCCGTAAATTGTCCTTCCTACTTGGCCAAGTCTGTACATCATTTGGCACCACAAAATGATATATACACTTGCCTTTAATCAGATATGCTCGTGCATATTTTTTTATAAGGCAAGACAGTGCCCATTAAAATAAGCAATCTAGGATTCAGTCCATATCTGTTTATTTCCCCCAATCCTCCCAAGTACTCGGTGGGTGGTGTCTATAATGACCGCATCTAATCATCTGGTAGATTTCCTCCCACCAGGCCATCTCCTCTGAGGTTTCTGTCAACACATTTTAATTATTCAAGGATTCCCCTGGTAAACTTCTCAATGAGACACCATCCACTTTAATCTGTATAATATAACAGTCACTCCTGAGATGTACTTCATCTTTCATGTAATGGACAAGTGACGCGTTCCTCCGTCATAATCTTAAATTCTTGTGGTGCGAAGACATGAACAATGTTGCATGTGCTAATCTCACAGGAATTTTGTTCTCGAGGATATGTTAAATTCATTAGTTTTGAAAATTAATGATTGAAATATAGTCTGGTCATGATGAGTACATGTAATTGGATTCCGTAAACCAGGACCTAATAAAAACTGTTGGGTCCCCCGTTCCATTTTTGTTCAGTTTTGTTCGCCAAGGCTCCATTTCAAATTCCAAAACAACTTTTGTGGACAGGGAAAAAAACACAGATTGTCATTGATCAGTTACCAATAATTACTAAGTAAAAAGGGTATTTTTGTATCCAAAGAATGCAAAGTTCTAGAACATTACATTGTGTGCCAGAAGAGGGGTGTTCTGGCATTTTTTTTTTACAGAATATGAACTCAAACTGCTAAAACTTGCTTAGTACTCTTGTGCCGGGCAGCAGACCATTTCTTTTTTAGAATAGAAAGTCTCTTTGTGCATCTCCAATTTTTAGCTGGTAACATTTCTTATATGGGCGGGGAATAGCCACCATATTGCATACACGTACAGTTGTTCTATTATGGAATATGATGGAGCCTTTTGATGTACATGTATGTACACAAGTCTGGCTTTCCTGTCTTGTTTTATATTGATCATATCCGTACATCAGTTTTTCTTCTCTATTTTTCATCATGTCACTGTTTTTTCTGTTGTGGTTTGAAGGGACTGGATTGATAATTTTTAGATTTTAATTGTGTTTATCCACCATAAAAATGTTCCTTCTCCCAGACTCAACCCTGCCTATGAAGTTCTTAGTCTATAAATACATGTAAAAGATCAGAAATGCACGTCGGAACTGGGAATTCAATCCTTGCCTGTCGTGATGGGATATGAACCTGGCAGTAAAAGTCTAGAGACAAGGAAAGCGATATGCCTACTGTAGTGTTCACATTCAGAAATGAGATAGATTTTGTCTTGACTCAGTAAACAGTAGGCAAGTCAACGAATACATGTCTAATGCACTGCAACACTGCTCTGTGTAAAGCGGAGTGGAATACCACTGTGACATTTGATGCTTGTTCGTCTGGAGCTCTTGAACATAGTATGAGAATTAGACTGATGTGCCAACAAGTCTGTATTTCTAGACTCTGTGTTACCACGATAAGCTCATGGTTATACTGCAGGATTCGTTATCATCGATTCTCATCTTTGTACAAGTTTCCCCAATTACGATGTCGTTTTATTGGCCAAATGGGCAGAATTGTCAGCATAGTTGCAGAAATTTACACAGCGACTGTGTGTTCAGTGTTGGAGATAAGCCCATCTGCGTGACCTGGTAACTAGTACATGGGTCGTTTGTTATGTACTTCAGAGGTTTTATTGTGATAAATATGCTCTAAGACAAATCGTGTGATCGGCAAATGTGATAGCGTGCTAAAGGTTCCATTAATGTTCCATGGTTCATGTGTCTCCAATCCCTGGTTATCTTGGACATGATAGAATGTACATGTACAGTTTGCTTGAGATTAAGACTTCTTTGGAGCTGTCATTCTCCAGTGTTCACGATAACATGAATTTTTGAGGCTTTTGAACTGTGAGCAAAAAACTAAAGACTGCTCCTCAAGTCAGAATGCAAGCATCCTAAAATTTTATGGGGGATTAAAACTGTTTCAATAACATGACCTCCATCTAAATTATTTTATACTCAAGAGTTTGTTCTCCATGTATGTTCTACTTGGGAATCCAAAATTGACTGAAGATAATATATATACTCTCATCAAGCTAAATGTCCATATGAATTTTATTTCATGTAAAGTATAGAGATTTTTGGATAATTTTGGGGATCTGCGAACAAAATCTAGTACAAATTAACAATATATCTGCCCAGTTTTTCATTCATAGGGAAGTTGAAACTCCTGGTTTCCCAAATGTTTTTTTTCTTCAGAATTCCTTTTTTTGCTTATAAATAATGACGCACACATTTGACATGTATACATGTACATGCACTGTACTGTCCACCAAACTGTGACTTTGGGCCTTAGTCATATTTTGCTCTTATAAAATTGAATGCCTCTGTAGTGTAACCTGTCCACACCGCACTACAGACACTATTGCTACACTATACAAATGTGAAAGGTCTCTTTGCCCAATCAATAATGACAACTAACCTGAGGTTTTCACTTGATGAAAATGACAGCTAAGCTTATGACGGACCATGTAAGGACATTTCAAAGTTGAATGGCAATTGTAAAAAGATGCTACAAAAATATCAATTTGAATCTAAGATTGAAGTATTGTGATATTGCATGTACGCGTATATCCAGTCGAAGAGGATAGGCCTAGTGTGCTTAATGCTTTGAGCCATATTTCTAAGAATTTAACTGACATGTATTTGGTATGTGAGAATAAAATCATGATGGATGTATTGATAATAGCAGCTGTGATCATAAAAGGAACTCATTGTGAAAATGGACAATACAGTAAAGTAAGTGTTAATATTTTAATATCGTTTCAAGTGACAGAGGAATGAATGGGTTTATTCTTTGTTCCATTAATATTATGTTTACCTCTTGAAATATGTAGGCTGGAGGTAGTTGGTATATGTTTTCATTAGTAGGCTCCACCAGTGTGTTTGTTGATATTGTAAGTTCAGTTTTGAATAATTTAATTTTAATTTGTACTGAAACTCAGTATCCTTGAAGGCAGCTTGCTTTATTTAAACCAAGGATAGCATGATGATTATGAACGTTTGATGCAATAACAAAATATGATATTACATGTTTCTCTGCATCCAATAGGGTGGGATTTGATTGGAGTGGAATTTTACACTTCATTAGAGATTGTTTCAGATTGTCTCATGGTTCAGTAACATCAGTTTCCTGCAGGGAGATTGCCAGTGTTATTTCAACAATGAAAACAAATCTAATTTGTCTGGCATCTGCATTAAGCAGGGTGAAAAGTGTGCTCAGATATCCCCATAACAAACTTGTCTTGTCTTAAAACGTGTTGTGTCTTGTCCTAGGCAGTCACTAATTGAGCATTGGTATCTGGGATTGTTCTAAGTGCTTGCATGTATCATGTGTCCAACCTATAGATAAATCTTGTCATTTGCACAAGCTCATTACTCAAAAGGTCTGAGGTAACTTGTGATACGAGACAGATAAATGCCATAGTTTGGAGGTACATATACATGCCGTTACCTTGGGCAAATATTGCAGACCTTTACCTAATCAAGTCCTAACCCAAATCAACTATGAAAGTGGTTCTGTCGTCTTGTAGGAAGAGGTTATTATTAAATTAACAAAGGTTTCAACATTTTTTATAAAAAAAGATTTTGAATTTAACAAAAAAACTGTTACTGCCAATTCTCAAGCTTTTTAGTGTCAATCACATAGAATCATGTTGGTTTTGGTATGGTTTGGGATTTTCCATATAATAAACTCCCTCAAGGCACCATACATAAAACTGAAGAAAATATGTACAGTTTTCACTTGCAGGTGATTATTAATCAAAATTAAAATTGCAAAGGCATTAATTTGAAAGGCTAAACCTCATGTAAATTTAACTTTAATCTTTGATATGATGATGATAAAGATTCTCTACATCTTGCTAGATTGAGAGATTTAACAGTACAGACATGACAGAATTTCACATTTATGAGCACAGCATATTATTTTAGAAATTTTGTGTGATACATGTCCTTCTCTTGGGAATATTTTGCTCAAATTCACCAGAGCCATTTTTAGTCAATGATTTGGCAGCCCATTGTCGGTATACAAAATATTAATCATTCTGCACTCATTCATGAGAATTTGATTTCTTTAATTGGTTGCAGCTGATCAAAAAGTTGGAGGGCCTGACATTTTGATCCTAGCAGAAGTTTTCTTTAAGGCAAAAATGCAAAAGGTTGCCTTTGAGAAAGATTCTTCTAGGCTCAAACTATTAGGCCCTTCACATTTTTTTATTTGTACTTAAGGTCACTGTAACCAGCAAGCAGTTCACAGCTGTTCGTGTATTTTATATGTTCTTCATCCAATCTGAAAATGTTGTTGGGATTGACATGACCATCAAACCAGGTGTCAAACCATCAAAATTCACTTGAGTAAAGTAGGCAAACATACTCATGAGAATGTCACATAATGCAGGGTTGATGACAGTGAAATTTAATTTGCTTTGGACAGACTGGCCGGTTATAAAACCTTCACACCACTCGTTTCAGAAAGTCTG